GGAACTACAAAACGGAATGCTGACATCTTGCAGATGTTTTAAGGTTATAAAGAGCATAATAAATGTTTACTCAAAATATATTTGCTTATCCCCTCCAAAAACTTGATGACGTCAGCTCGAAAATTTGCCGAATAAATCATATCTAAAATGTACAAAATATGATCAGTCTGTACTTGTGATCTATCACTCCATTCATATTTTTTGGATTTGCATATACAGGGTGATTCAAGAAAATAAATGAAAGCGTAAATTTATTTTACTGATTTACTCAGGAACTACAAAACCGAATGCTTCGAAATCTTGAAGATATTTTAAAATTATCTTTAATCTTTAATCTTTAATCTTTATTGATCATTCTACAGGTAAAAACCCAGTTACAGAGATCAAAGTGTACAATATAAAATACAATAACACAATAAAATGACAGGGTATACATAATAAAGACAACAGAACGTTTCACGATTCCACAACACTTAAAGCGGCACGAGCATGATTTAAAATCGAATTTATTGAGTCATGGTGTAAATCACAATCTTGACAAAGAACGTTGTATGTGGACATCAATACTGCTACTGGAGCTTTGACTGCTACATTCGTACGGCTGTAAGAGAGCTTGAACAACGGAGCGTAACGCAGCCCAGGACGAGGAACATTAAACCGAAGGGAACCCAAGATAAAGGGGCAATCAATTTTACCATGAGCTAACTTATAGAGGAAACGCAAGACTGTTAACATTCTTCGAGTTTCTAGAGAAGAAAATTGAAATCTATTCAAGAGAATATTGTAATCGATGCCACGTACAGGATAAGCACCGTCCATTCTGAAGGCGAGAAATTTTAAAAAACGTCGTTGCACTTTTTCAATGGACATATTATATGTTCTATAGATGGGGTACCAGATCAATGCACCATATTCAAGGTGAGGTCGCACCAATGAGCAAAACAGGGTATTCAAAATGGTCAAATTGGTAAAATTTCGACAGTTTCTATATATAAAACCGTAGATTTTGAATGCCTTATTGATAGCATTAAATATATGCTCTTTAAACATAAGTTGAGCATCAAACAGGATACCTAGATCTTTGAAATTGAAATTGCGGTGTAATACTGTTCCTTCAATTGAATATGGGTACATGATGTACATGATTATCATAAGCATGGTAAATTTTTGATCAAAATGTATTTGGTCGTCCCCCCTAAAAAATTTATGACGTCACCACAAAATTTTGCTGTATAAATCCCAGAGATATGTAAAAGACAGATGCTGTTATAGCTTTCCCGATCTAGGGCCAACATCTATGATCTAAGAGTAGCAATACTTTGTGTCGCCTATCCTTTTCTATATCAGCACCAGTACTATGGATTGCCAACTGTAGGCTACATCGATCACTCTCTAAAAGGTGTTTGTCTTGTTATTGGCCCGTTCTGATGGCGGCAATTATAAATAATCATAACCACCCACAGTCCTGAGTGGTCTGACAGGGACCGGCACAAACACAAGAACGGCATCAACGACAAACGTTGCGCCAACTGATTGGTTGCGCCGTACAGAGCGAGACCTTCAGATATCGGATTACCATTATACGTGCTAGAGAAAAAGAGGGAGATATAAACATACAGTGACATTTTGGCCCTAAACGTATGTCCACGAGAACATTAAATATCTGTATCTAGTCTTTTACATATCTCTGATAAATCCTATCTAAAATGTACAAAATATGGTGAGTCTCTTCTTGTGATTTATCATTCCATTCAAATTTTTTCGATTTGCATATACAGGGTGATCCAAAGAAATTAATGAATGCGTAAATTTATTTTATTGATTTAATCAGGAACTACAAAACCGAATGCTTTGAAATCTTGCAGATGTTTTAAGGTTATAAAGAGCATAATAAATTTTTAGTCAAAATATATTTGGTTATCTTCTACAAAAAACTGATGACGTCGGCTCAAAAGTTTGCCGAATAAATCGTATCTAAAATGTACAAAATATGATGAGTCTGTACTTGTGATTTATCATTCCATTCATATTTTTGGATTTGCATATGCAGGGTGACTCAAAAAAATTAATGAAGGCGTGAATTTATTTTATCGATTTAATCAGGAATTACTAAACCGAATGCTTTGAAATCTTGGGAATATTTTAAAGTTATTATAAGCATGGTAAACTTTTGTTCAAAATGTATTTGTTCATCCCTCCTAAAAAAATTGATGACGTCACCCTTAAACTTTGCTGAATAAATCCTATCTAAAATGCAAAAAATATGATGAGTTTGTACTTGTGATTTATCATTCCATTCATATTTTTTAGATTTTCTTAAGAGGTGGTTCAAAAAAATTAATGAAGCCAATTTATTTTATTGATTAAATTAAAGGCAACACTCATTATTAGTGTTACACCCCAACCAACCCAATTTGGTAGACACAAAATTTGTTAAAGGAAAAACTCGGTTGAAACATAAGGGTAGCACGCTTATTTACATCGACTTTAACATTACAGACGTGCATTTGTTTTATGCGTTCACTTGGTTCCGCGAATGTGAAATAGACATGTTTATAATCAACCAATTGTGAATTTCACCGTCAAGAATTAAAATAAAACCCAATGTTTTATATAATAAGCGGAAGTCGAAGCAATAAAACCGATGGTCGTTTTGTTTACAGTTTCTCTGTTTGACTCTCACGTATGCTGTTACGCTTGTCATCTTAAATTAAGAATGTTTATACATAAACGATTTTCAGTTGCCGTATACATGAGTAAATTGTTTCGTTATTTTATTGATTATAAGAAATCAATGTTCAAAACGACCCAATTCATTTTCCCGAAAATTTGGGAATACAATAATTTTATTCTTAGTATTACACTACATCTATCCCAACTGATATACGTGTCCTTGCAAAAATGTTGATGACGTCATCACAATTTTTTTTTAAATTCCCACTACAAAAATGTAATGAGAAAAAAAAACACAATAGGCATGCAGTCGTCAAGTTTCCGACAGCGAGGGAAGTACTGTCTAAACTCTTTAGACCAATTTTTTTTTATTATATGTCACTGTTAGGATTTTGAAAATATTATAACTAAATTTATAATTGTTTTCATAAAAGATGGAGGGGTTTTGCAGCTGGGAAAATATGCTCATCAAGTTTATTTCACAGCTTTTGTTCTCTCTCTTAAGAAGAACCAACTTTCAGCCATTTGTTTGTTATATGTGTAAACTTAAAGATTCTATTTCAGTTCAAATCTCTTTTTACCAAAATTGAATAAAAGATGTTCCTTTTCAGCGCTGACTTTGACTTCCTACACTCTTCCCGCTCCTCATTGCGCCAATTTGTATCCGAACGCATTCCGCCATTCAAAACACAACGTATGGTCCCCATTTTGTTGACGATCACAGTTCATGGCCACTTTTCGAATTTTTCGCGGGTTTTCTAATTTTGTGCGCATGTCTCCAATTTTGGCGGAATGTTTGGGTTATTACACGAACTTTCATTTTTTGTTTACAAAAATTAAGATGGACACTTCTCAATTTATTTGCTAAATGCAGATCCTCGTTTTCCTGAACAACATGTATGGACTGTCATGAAATTAATAAACCCTCTTTAACTTGGATGGTTTTTCTTTCACCAAACACATTCCGTATTAATTTTAGCATGTGGCAAGGATCATAGAAAATGTGTACCTTATTACTCCCCTTGGTAACACAATTAGTATATTAAAGAACGAGTTTCATAAGGCAAATATTGAGGCACGAATCCAAGTTTATAGAACGAGCGGCGAAGCCGCGAGTTATATAAAGGATGAGTGCCTCAATGGCCTTATGAACGAGTTATTTATACTATTTTTTCTACCGCACACGTTTTTTCCCAAAATTTAATTGAAATTTGCATTTTTTTTAATCTGGGGACTTTTGTCGGGGTTGGTGATGGGTTGGTCTGACACTAACCACGAAATATTTGAGGTTCGAATTTTCACAACAACAATTGTAATTCGAATCAATTCGAGTTTTTGTAATTTAAAATTGGTTAAAATGTCTTGCGAAGAAGTTACGCGTCCGGAAACGTGGTAAATTTTAAGTTTAGATTTGCCACTGACATTCACCTGACATTTCTCGTCATTGCTACCAATCTTACCGGTCTAAATTACACCAGATCTATTAAAGAAGGCCTTTCCGCTATTAACGAACTGCTGTGACGTCATTTGCGTGCGTTAATAGCTCTATTAGAAAACCAAAAAACGTGGGCGGTAGAAAAATATTTTTAAGATTGGGAAAGGCGGTGGTGTAGCCAAATAAATGACACATATCTAAACTTGATGGTGCCCCATCAAATGTTACGAAGACAGTCTTCATACCTGTGTCTTTTACTCATACATGAATGAATAGTTTGTCCCACAAGTGTATGTTTTTGAGAACCATTCAAAAAACAGCTCAAAAAATTGCCAATTGGGATTTTCCAAGTACCATTTATCACTTTCCAAATTAAATGAAATAATTTCAACGATTATTCCTTGTCTTTTTTTATATTTATATGTTGGACGCATAAAACTAGCATGTAAAATATAAAAAAACATTAGCATGTCAGGTGTGAATGTGAATGCCACAGTGGTACATATATTACTCCCATTAAGTACAAGCACTGCTTTCGCTTCTTCGTTTTCATGAGACTTAAAGTCAAAGCCACAGTTCATAAAACCAATATATAATGCTAACCGCTCTGGATTAGCAGGAAACCCAGAACTAAAACATAAACATATTATACGTTATTTATTGTAAATTTATAAATGTGATACACAGCAATGCCACAGTAGAGCAATGCCGCTAGCACGAACGCCACTGATGGAAAAGTATGACAAAAGTGGCTGCCAAAATAAATTTGTCTTCAAACAACAAACAACGGGGTTCAAACGTGGTTCAAACTCAACGCATGGGCAGTCCAGGCCTCTCTCTTTCCTTGTCTAAGGCAGCAGCAAAGCAAAATGTAATTCTTTTTGAACAAATGCAAATTCGAGCTAGCGGGACCATTGAATTGTCGCCTTTTGCAAGAAACGTCAAGCCTATGTAAAATTTCAAAACTGTACATTTGTTGAGTAACTTACATGTTTTTCTTGTTAACCGAACCGTCTTTTACCTTCTAAATTCGCGGTAAAAATAGAATGCTATTTGAGATGCAGCCGCCCTTCACCACCTTCATGGTAAGTCCTCCACATAACCTTAAACCCAAAAACGCCGATGACCGTCGCATTTATTTAGAGTGTCGAAAGCACCCGGGCGTACATCGACAACCTGTACTCCTCGGACCCCGAGAAATGCCTAACCTCTATAGTATGCATCAAAAACTCCGTTATTGGCTCGAACCGCCAGAAAGAAAGCGTAATAGCGCAGGGCATTGTGCCGCGCCTTTTGCAGCTCCTCCAAGACAGGAACACAAAATCCATGCTGCGAATAGAGGCGGCGATCACTGTCGGCTCCCTGGCCAAAGGAACAAATGAGCATGTGGAGATCCTAATCAACTCCGGAACTATCCAATTACTACTAAACACGCTTGAGGAAAACGAGCCCCAATTAATTGACGCATGCTTGAGCTGCTTACGCACGCTGTCCCAGTCAGATTCACCTCAGAATAAAATCGACGTGAAGAGGCTGCACAAACTGCTCACCTTCGCCGGACCTGGGGAGAGCTTGCGAAGGCAGGCCTGTGTGGCCAGTATTATGGGCTCGGCGTGCAAGACACCGGTAGAGCAAAACGAGCTGTGCGCCATGGGGGCACCAAACCTACTCGCCGCGCTTCTGTCAGTGCAAAACAGCTCGGTCAGAATACCAGTTCTCGCGTGCTTAGCTTCCATGTGTTGGAACAACCAGAACGTGGCAAATATGGTGGCCAACACAACATACAAGGACGTGAAGGTTTCTAGTATTTTAGCTACGTTGATCGGAAGAGATAGACCTATTGAGATGCAGCTAGAGGCTGCCAGGTGTCTCACTAATTTGCACCGGGCTGGAGCCATCTCGTCTAACGACCCCATTATCACGTATAGGACTTTGCCCTGTTTGGTCCGGCTGTGTCAGGTACGTACAAGTCAAGGGGGAAACCGTGAATACTTCACAAAGCAAGTTGCATTAATTAAATTGTGTGTGCAAGTCTTTCTGTTAATAATGTTGAGTATTGTGTTCTGCCTGTGTATGAACCTCCTTTGGGTGATTTTCAAATATTTCTTTACAGCAATTCCTCAGGTATCGATGCGATATCTAATAAACTTCCAAACATTATTGGTGAAGAAATTGTAAACTTACTGGGGCGGCACAATAACACATTGGTAAGCGGAGAAAGATAAGCGGCCTCCTGGTCCAGTGGTCAGGATACCTGCCCTGTAAGCAGGGGGCGTGTGGTTCGATTCACACCGAGGCAGCAACATTTTTCTTCGCTTACCTTCAGTTACAAGTGCGAGAATTATAGATCGATTTCTGTGTAAAATACCGTATCAAAAATATTGAAGAAAACTGCAATAAACGAATTTACGGTTTTATCGAAAGTGCCACTGTTCTGAAATCTTACAACATTTAAAAATTATCGTAAGCATGGCAAATTTTTAATCAAAATATATCTGCTTTTCCTCAAAAAAAAAAATAAATGAATTAATGGGACAGTTTATTTTATTTATTAAATTGGGGACGGCTGTCACCATTTTCCCGAAAATTTGCGTATACAAAATTGTTATTGTTAGTATTACACTATTATTATCCAAATTGATATACTTGTCACACTTACTTGAACATGCTCCTCTACAAATTACAAACATAGCTGTATTTCAACTTATAGAGGTTATCATAAAACAAATAAAATTCGCAAAATTAAATCGTATAATTTTTCGAAAAACTGGGTTTGTTGTACTATGCTGTACTTTAGAGACGACGGAAGTTCTCTCAAAATAACCTTAGATCAGTTTGTTGTGTCCCAAGTGAAGAGTATATGCGTATATTGCCATTCAAGTTTGAATTCTATATTAAATATTATGTATTAGTATTAGAGATGTACCGACTGTAGGTCTGGCCGACTAACCGACTAGCCGATTGTTCGGCCAGTAAAAACCGACTAGTCGGCCGACTGTTCGGCTTTGCTAAAACCGGTTTATAAATGCGACAGGCAGTGTGTTTTTTTTTTTTTCTATTTCTCTGACTACCTTGAAAATTTGTTTTATTTTAATAAAAGGAATAACTAAAGTTCCTTTGTTTTCCAAAAAATGTGTTAAATTTGTTTGGATAATTTTAACATTTAATTTTTTTTAGTAACTCAGTACAAAAATAAAAAATAACACAATTTAGGGCCAGTTTATATAATATTTTAACTGAGATTAAGTTGATCGCACATTTAACAAGGCCATTAGCGACGTCTGATTGGCGTAGAGTCGGTCACATGGTACTTCAAAGCGGGGTTAAAAATTAAATCGCAATTAAATATTTAATTGAGGTTCTGTAAACCAGGTTTAATTGTTTTATATACTATTTTAATTTTAATAAAAAAAGCCGACCGATCGGCTGTTTAGCCGACCAGTCGCCGACTGCAGCCGACGATGAAAAATGGCCGAATAGTCGGCTTATCCGACCGGTCGGCCACTAGTCGGTACATCCCTAATTAGTATACAAATTGTATCAAGTTTTTATTACACGTTTAAGAGGGATCTCCTTGATATTTGTCAGTATTTTTGGAAGACCTTTTTTTTAGACTGAACACTCGGAAGGAAACAGAGCTTCAGCTGCCAACACTCTGGCTTATTTGACCGAAGTAGACAGCGATTTGCAGCAGGTTGCTGCAATTAGTAATCAATTAGTGAGCGCTTTAGTGAATTTACTGAGCTGCCGTAGCGTTGCTGCAAGGCAGGCAGCCTTCAGGTACATTTTGTTCATTGTTCATACATTTAGGATAATTTTTTCGGTTTTAGAGCTTTTGCTTCCTTAGCTGCAAACGACGAAGACATAAGAAAACGCATTATCGACACCAAATGCTTAATGGACAGTGTTTTAGAAGGTTTAGATGACGAAAACGAGGACATTAGGTTGGCGGCAGTGCGGTGTCTTCACTCTTTGAGTAGGTCAGTTCAGCAGCTGCGTACTACGTTTCAGGATCATTCGGTGTGGCGCCCTCTGATGGCCCTACTGACAGGTATGTGTTTGCAGATTGTTTTTCTGACGTTTCGGTATGGTTTTAACGCCTACATTGCATTGCAGTACAGAAAACGGGGCTTCGGATTCTTTTTGAGTTGCTAGTTGCATGTGTGACAATGTGTAGCTTGGATTTAAGGGCTTTAATGTTGTTTGTATTCCGAGAAATTAAATGCCAAATCGCATACTATTTAGACTAAACGAATTTTATTTTATTCCTACTATGAGTGAACAGAAAAAGTGATCCATGGAGGCGTTAGGCATTTGTCCAGTTGAAGTGTAATTTATTGCTATGTGAGGTTAAAACTGTGATTGTAACCTAGTTCTTAGTTTATTTAGGATAAGACTGCAACTGAACAGCAGAACACCTAACTGGATTATTTTTTATTTTTCATGTACGCTTATTAGTAACGTAAAGACTCTGCATGTAACCATTTTACGATTTTTGACTTGTGTACAAGTCATTGCGAAATATATATTTTTTTAATAAAGAATAGATTTTACAAAAATGGTTTCATCCCCATTTCGAAATTTTTATGTGTATTAAGGAACAACATAAATTTGTTAAAAAAAAAATGTGTTTTTATTAGTTTAGTTTTAGTTCTCCAATTATTTACGATAATTCAAATGCGGCGCTGCATGAGTAATGTACATAATTTTTTGTACATTATACTCACAACAGATATTTTTGAGAAATAATACTTTTAGTAATATTACCAGTCCAAAGTTCGTATTTAGGTTGGTATTAACTTTGTCGCTAATAAGTGCCAAATGTACATTCGTAAAACAAATTTGAAATACCAGTTTTCGACGCAAAAGTTTAGGTGTAGGTAGGTACCCCAGCATTTGCACGTGCGACGAAAGAGAACTTCAAATTAGTTGCCAAATAAATTTAATTTGGAAATCGGTACGGATGCTAACCTTCAGTGATAACCCAAAATTATTCGTGTGGTAAATATACCAAAAATACATCTTTTACCATTTAATGTGAAATCACCGAGTTGAAATATTTGTTTTCTGTTAGTAATTAAAGTGGACACGTTCGTGTATTTTTTAATTGCATTTTGTAGGTATTTGTATTGAAACACGACGTGTTGATTGTGCTTAAAATTTAGTAATTTGTAACATCTTTCGCTTGACTTATAACATCTTTTTACTTCCCGAGCGTAAGCAAAGGAAGTATTGTAATCGAGTCCGTCGGCCGACTCTCTACTTTTACGTTTTCTCGATCTTTCATGATTCATTTTATTGGTATTAAAAATGGCGGCAACGACAATGTGTATAAGTCAAATCCAGAACGACCTAGTTTGTAAAGTTGGCACGTTTTTAACTGTCACATCAAGTCGATATAACCTAACTTTTGCTGAACACTGAACCACATGTGAAGTAAGAAGATAAATATTATTACTATTATAGTTCCTTTGCCCATCCCCACCAAAATTGTGTTGACGTCATCTCAAAAATTTGTCAAATACATCCTATTTAAAATGCATATAATGATATGCGTCTATGCGGTGATTTATTAATTCACCCGTATTTTATGTGGTAAGTACATACTTAAAATTAAATTGTGTAACATACGAAAACACTGAGTTTTTTGTTGAAATATTTAAAAATAACTTTAATTAAAAAACATGAAGACGGAACCCCAAGTCAAGTGGATCTAGTTAATTTTTTGAATAATAGTAATAATAACATGCTTTTACTTCCCGAGCGTAAGCAAAGGAAGTATTGTAATCGAGTCCGTCGGCCGACTCTCTACTTTTACGTTTTCTCGATCTTTCATGACCCCTAGAAGACGAAGAAATAGGTCTCCCATTTCCGTCTGTCTGCCGTCCTGGATTTTTATTAGACAGATAATCTCCGAAAGTACTGGACCGATTAAAAAACGCTAACCAAAATTTGTCTAATCATCCCCACCACTCATGTGATGACGTTACTTCAAAATTGTACATAGTAAATGGGTTTTAAATTGTATAAAATAATATAGTCCTAAACATGTAGTTTACGACTCCGAATTGAGTTTTTACCCGAAACGTCCAGATTTTTGGAAAAAAAATCAAAATTATAATACAACATTTTGCAATTTAATTTTGAATCTGCTAATCCGAATGTTTTGAAATGTTGCAGATGTTTTAAGGCTATAAAGAGCATCATAAATCTTTACTCAAAATATATTTGGTGATGCCCTCCAAAAACTTGATGATGTCAGCTCAAAAGTTTGCTAAATAAATCCTATGATAAGTCTGTACTTGTAATTCATCACTCCATTCATATTTTTTGGATTTGCATATACAGGGTGACTCAAAAAAATTAATGAATGCGTAAATTTATTTTATTGATTTACTCAGGAACTACAAAACCGAATGTTTTGAAATCTTGAAAGTGTTTTAAAGTTATCATAAGCATGGTAAGTTTTTGATCAAAATGTATTTGCTCATCCCCCCTAAAAAATGTATGACGTCACCACAAAATTTTGCTAAATAAATCTTATCTAAAATGTACAAAATATGATGAGTCTTTTCTTGTGATTTATCATTCCATTCATAGTTTTTGGATTTGCATATACAGGTGACCCAAAAAAATTAATGAATGGGTAAATGTATTTTATTGATTTAATCAGGAACTCCAGAACCGAATGTTTTGAAATCTTGCAAATGTTTTAAGGTTATAAAGAGCATAATAAATTTTTAGTCAAAATATATTTGGTTATCTTCTACAAAAAACTGATGACATCAGCTCAAAAGTTTGCCGAATAAATCCTATCTAGAATATACAAAATATGATGAGTCTGTACTTGTAATTTATCATTCCATTCATATTTTTTGAATTTGCATATACCGGGTGACTCAAAAAAAAAAATGAAATCTACTGCGAAAAAAAAAACATAATAGACATGCAGTCGTCACGTTTCCGACAGCGAGGGAAGTACTGTCTAAACTCTTTAGACCAATTTTTTATTTATTACTTTAAAAAAAAAAGACTAATTCGCTTTGAAACCGTAATTTTACTATACTTGGCATTGAGGTCGTAAGTGCACATGAAATTTTATGACATTAAAGATTAAATTTCGCAGATTTTGTTTTTGGCGTTTCGGTGAAGGGGGCAATACGTTTAATTATTGAGAGCAAAATATGTATTTACATATTTAACAAAATCCTAACCACAAGTTACCAAACCATGTAAATCTTGCTGTACTAGTCGTAGCTGTTGACTTATTCATATTCGATTTTTTGTAACTCACCTTTTTTTTTGTATTCTAAACACGAAACAACTCTTCCAGGTTGCCCCTCCACCGAATTGCTCACGGCCGCATCTTCAGCTCTGTGCAACCTCCTCCTTGAATTCTCCCCCGCCAAAGAACCCATGCTCCAGCAGGGCGTGGTGCAGCTTCTGGCCACTCTCACGATCCGCCCGGAGCCGTCCCTCCGCCTCAACGGCGTCTGGGCCCTCATGAACCTTGCCTTCCAAGCCGAACAACGAGTCAAATCCCAAATCCTCACAGCCCTAGGAACCGATCAGATTTTTCGGTTGTTGGCGGACTCGGACACGCGCGTCCTCATGAAAACTCTAGGCCTACTCAGAAACTTGGTGTCTCCGAGGACGCACACGGACACTATGATGTCTTTGCATGGCCCCCAGGTTATGCAAGGTGTGGTACTCGTACTGGAGGGCCCGCATTCTCCCGAAGTCAAGGAGCAGGCGCTGTGCATTCTAGGCAACATCGCCGATGGAGAGAAGGCCAGGGAGCACATCATGTCGAACGAGGACGTACTTAAGAAGCTGATTGATTACATGACCCACCCGGCGCCGTGCCTGCAGGAGGCTTCAGTGTTCTGCATCAATAATTTATCAAGGCTGGGGGAACCCGGGTCGCTGGAACGGCAGACTAGGTTGAAGGAAATGGGAGTGGTGAATATTCTGCAACAGCTGTTGAGCACTTCGGACACGGTGCTGTACAATCGGTAAGAGAGAGAGGTAATGTGCGTGGAGGTAAGGTAACGAGGTTTTTGTTGCAGAGTTAAAACTGCTCTCACGCAATTTACAGATGTATGAAGTATGTTTTCTGTTTTAAGGATTCATGACCCCCCTGTCTGATATTAATGTGATGTGTAGACTGAAAGTGTATATTTTGTTTTGCATTGTTTTAATTTTAGGCAACAAATTGACGCCCGAACATAGTACCTATCCTGTGTTATACTTATTTAAAAGCACATTAAAAGTTAATCAATGTTACTGAGTTTTTAATCTACTTTCTCCAATTATATTCACTGATCACAACAATTTTATTGGTCTCTATGTAAAGGAAAATCCGCACTGACTGTCCATTCTATTATACCAAGAAAATAGTTATTTGCATCACAAGGCCAAAAACTAATGTTTTGCGAATACGAGCGATTTCGCCAAGCCGAGCGTTAGTGAGCATTCGCAAGAGTACCTAGTTTCTGGCAGAGTAATGCATACAATTGTTTGGGCCGCGTAAATGTATGACTTTAAAAAATTAAATAATTTCATATTTCTTGACATAACAGAGTTGACAGTTGCTTGCATTAGAAACGTAGCTTTAAATAATCGAGAGTGACAATCAGGATGGACTTTCCTTTGTACAGAAAGTTATGAAAGTGTCAGTGTGATTTTCCACGGTTTAGGCCAGAAACAGCTTGTTTACGAACGATTTAGGCTACTCGGAAACGAAATTTAGACAATGGTGGCCCAAAAATGAAATCATTTAATTAATTAACTTAATTTCCGGGTTTATAATGCAAGTAACTAGTTACTATTGCCTATGACTTCTTTCGTTTTCACAAGTTGGATGTCCAAAAAATTAATGTATGACCCAATTTATGTCTTTTAGTGTTGTCAGAAATTGTCCAGTTCCACAGTAACCTTATGATTAATAATCATCAATGTAATAAGTCTGCACTACAGTCTTATGCTTTCTGATATCTAAGTATAACTTAAGAACGAAACCCCTTTTTTCTTACTTTACCAACATCAAACTTCAGTTGTTACTTTTAAGGAAATCGTGGGAAAATTACGTTTCTATTATTTTAAGTCATAAGTATATTGATTTACGTTTAAAATAATGCAGTTTGGGTATGACTAGTGCAAAAGAATCACAAAGGAATGTTATATACATTACAATACTCGTAGATTGTGTATAGATAATACTTAAAGATAATCCAGTATAAAATAGCATTACGCCCTATCTCCTGAATTATTCAGTTCCTGATCATTATTTGCCAAAGGATCCAACTCTGCAAACAGACTGAGCCAGGACATCTGCGTTCCATTCTTCTCTGGCGCCTTTGCGCCCCCCTTCTTTGGTTTATCATTCGATTCTTTGGTATTCTCTTCAATTTTTTCAACCTCAATTTGACTAAAATCAAAATTTCCTTCCTGTATGAGCTTTGAGGGCATAAAATCGCCCCCTAAAAAGTCAGCACTGCTCGGCCAACACAGATCCAACAAGGTCGAACTGGGCGCCGAATCTCCAACGGGCGTCGCCTCGGCGGGAGCAGACATGGAAAAATCCTCCCCCAACAAATTGGAAACTTGCATCTCCTGACATCCCTCCTTGGTCACACTCTCCGCCTTCTCCTTTTTCTCCGCCTCCTTATCCGTGTACTCGGCGTTGAAAAATGTGTTCTTGTCCTTCTCATGCTGCGGAGTGGCCAACTCTGCGATCGCGCTGAAGTCGTATGGCTGCACGTCGCTCACTTTGCTCGCCGCCAAAGTCAGGGTCTCCGCAGCTTTCGCCGCGAACGTGGACACCGCCCCCTGGTACGGTACCAGGGCGTGCGAGAACATGTTGCACCTCGCCGCCGCCAGCAGGTCGACCTTTTGCAAACACGCGAGCGTAAGCCGGTCGAACTTCATCTTGGTGCTCTTCACGTAGGACTGCGCCTTGCGAAAACGATCGAGGCCGTGACCCGTATCGGGATCCAGTTGCGATGACACCGACTTCATCCAGCTGAGTGCCGCGCGATACTCAGTCCGGGCCTTCTCCATCTCCAGTACCGTGACGCGGGTATCAGAGACGGCACGGCCCCGAAAGGTCTCCACCTCATGATGCAGACGCACGAGAGGCGGGCGCACGGTGAGCCGCTGGTGGCCGGTGTACGCCAGAGCTTTCCCAGCTGTTGACATGATCTGGCCGGCACTCGCGTTTTTTTCGTTTTTGCCGTACTCCTTGAGGTAGCGGCCGAGGGCGTTCTCCTCCTGGGCTAAGTAGCATAGGCGCTCTTGGTAAAGGTCTATGACTCGTTGTAGCTGGACGCAGCTCTCGTTAATGGACTTGAAAAGCTCGAGTTTTGCGTCGAGCTCGGCGTCGGAGGAAACGATACATTCGTCTTCTTTGCCGCCTAATTTTCGTAAAACGCTCTTTTTTGTCACCCAGTACTGATGTTGCATCGTTGGCGAGATTAACAGACGATAATTTTTTTCAAAAACATTTAATGCGTATCGTATCTATCGTACGAAAAATCAAAATGACTTTAATCGGTTTTGACACCTGTCACTTAAAAAACGGTGCTGCCAACAGGGGAGACGCTAAGGTACGGTTCGAGGGGTAAATTTTGCAAAAAAAGTGCACACACATTTCGAAACATGTTGATCGTTGTAAATAAAATTACAACCTCAAATGCGTTACGTTCTTAATAACATTAATAAGGTTTTAGTTTGGTGGCTCAAATTTTAGGAGGAGTGGAAGTGGGTTGGCACCCCTGAAGGTATGCATTTATTGTGGCATTTACAACACCTATCGAATGTAAATAAAATGTTACACCCCCAGCAAACATGAATTTGGATTTTTACACAATATTAGTTGAGTCTTAATTATATTTAAAAATTCCAAACATGGCTTCAGAAAGCGAGGAAATTCTAATTGAAGACTCGGATGACTCCCTACTTGATATCAAAGAGGTTGGTCTTTAACTCCAATTGCCCCAATTTCAACTGTAGACTTTCCAGTTAAATGACTTGGAATTTGATATTCCTCATGTTGCGGCTCCCTCGCTGGAAAGCGTCCTTTGGGACATGGAATCAGAAGAAGGGAGTGACAGTGCCTCTCTGCAATCATTTCAAAGTATGACCACTAAATTTCGGTCTATGTTGTGTCACCGTATTTTGCAAGGGGTTTCGACCCAGTTGACGTCGGCAGGGGTACCTCGTCGTTGGTTAAGATGTGGTTTATGTGAACAAATTGTTTTAGGAACGGGTTGGTGCTGGTTTACCAACTGTCATAACAAATAGTCTGAAATACGTAGCAATAGGAACTTCTCATGGATATGTTTTAAACTTTGATTCAGAACAGAATCTTTGTTGGTGCTGTTATGACCCTAATTTTAGTGATCAGGGAGCTGTATCAGCTTTAGCCTTTAATCTAGATTCCACAAGACTTCTTATAGGGTAATTATAAGCATGCCTCATGGAGTAAAGTGTTCGTTCTCGTTTGTTCCTTAAAATTATTATATTTAAAAAAAAAATCATAATTTACGCATTTCTACATTAGTCTGGAATAAATTCCTTAAAAATTTGACAGAAATCCTTGAACAGGCTGATGTGATTTTCACGACTTAAAATTTTGTAACTGATGTCATTAGTTATGACGCCATCGGTACATTTTTTATGGAAACCCTAGTTTGAAATAGTCCAAGGCTCCGACTTTACTCTAGTTCGTGTATATTGTATCTGAAAAATTGATTCTAGTATGCATTATTATCGGCAGGTACGAACGTGGCTTTATTTCAATGGTGGATACGGCGACCGGAGACGTAATAAGGAAAATGCCCGATGCCCACGCCCCACAAACGGCCGTTTTACATCTCCGTTTTACTTTTCTCAACAACCTAGCCCTTTGTGGTGACTCTTCTGGGTGCGTTTTCTCTCTTTCGTTCAACCGCAGACTGGGTGTGCGTAGTTGGGACTCCAAATGTCTCTTCTCGGGTGCTCGAGGCGAAGTATGCGTTTTCGAACCTCTTGTACAAGGACACGATATCCACTTCCTTAGTCGTCATATTCTAGTGGCAATGGCAACTTTATCCAAAGTATAAAGCTCTATGACTACAGGGTGTTTCATCTGAGACTTACCCCTCAGAATGTTGCTAACATTCTGAACTTTGTAAATTAATCTTGATCTCTGCAAAAACACGTTTTCAAAATATGTGTTTTCAGAAAAAAAATGTGAGTTGGGGGTTGCCTTTCGATGAAACACCCTGTGCAAACTACAAATTCTTATTTTTAAAATTCTAGGTAATAGTAATATCGATCCGACCCCGCCTCAAAGTCCTCTTCTCCCAGCCCCTTCCACGAGTCTCCACCTCCCTCCCCCTAATCTCCTGGCAGTTGGTGTCCGTGGGGCGGACGTTCCAACCTGTCCTTGCGTGGGGGCGCAGCAGCGAACTCAACTACACAAGAGTGGTTCTGCATGCCACCAATAACAACAGAGTCAGACTTCTTCCGTTGCGAACCGTTCAGTTAAACTACACGCTCACGGCCATGCACTGGCTCGGAACCAGGCACTTGGCCCTCTTGGACATCAACGAGAACCTGCGATTGGTGGAGGTTCGGACACAAACGGAATTGGAAATTCTGGAATTGGGCAACGCGGGCTTAGTCTACAGTTCCGCCCACTTCAAGGCGCTGGCCGTGGGGGGCGGGGTCAGCGAAGCGTTCGCCTTGGCCGGGGAAAGGGCGTGCTACAACAGTCTGTCTAGTCGCGGGGATCAGTTGCTAGTTTTGGGTACGAAGGCTGTGCATTTGATAAAATTAAGGACGTGGCCGGAGCGGCTGTTGTATCTCAGTGAGCAGGGGCGGTGGGCGGAGGCACTGAATCTGGCAGCCGAAGAGGGGATGAATAGAGAAATTTTCACTTCCACGCTGTTGAAGAAATACCTGGAGAATCTCAACCAGAATACCGTGGATAAAGATAGTCTGACGGCGGCGGTCAACTGCTGCGTAAAGCTGAATAAAACGTGAGTAAAGTATTTGAAAGTTATAATATTAATAAAATGTATTTATACAGTTTATACAAGTCAATATAATAATGTGCACAGTTATAATTTAATGCTTGATAATTCTTGTGAAGCCCTTGATCTAATTTCTGTATTAGTGTTACTGTACTATACTGCGTGGCTGTTGTTAACTGAACATTTAACTTAGTCCCTAAATGGTCGAATAGGTGCCTAGTTACGCAAAAATTTTGATTAACGTAGAACACTGAGTTTTTTCTTGTAGTGATATCCTCTGCAACGAGCTCCTCGAAGCCGTCTCCAGTGATCAAAGCAACCAAGACTGGTACTACACCCTCTTGACCGACCACATTAACAACGGCCTCCTTAGAACCACCAGCCCTGCTGTGGCCCAAACCCTCGTGAGTTATCTCGAAAAGAAAGACTCCCAAGCTCTAGAAAACGTCCTTCTTTCGCTGGACATAACCTGTCTGGACCTGCACCAGGCGCTCAGTATATGCAAAAAGCGCAAGCTTTACGACGCCTGGATCCACATCACCACGAAAACAATAGGCGACTACGCTAGCCCTCTGACGGAATTTTTGTGTGAACTTACCTCGGATAACCATCGCCTGGGGAATACCATTTTGGTGTACGTGTCATCGTGTCTGGCCGGTTTGGGGTACCCCAGCGGTCAGATCCCCGAGAAGGATGTCCCGAGGGCAAAGCACGAGGTGCTAAGGTGTCTTGAAACGGCCCACTCCATCAAGGGAACGGAAGATGAGCAGAGCTATCCCTACATGCGCGCACTGCTCAAGTTCAGTATTAGAGAGTTCTTGAATGTGGTGGGGTTGGCCTTCACGGAAGTGGAGTTCTCGGGGGAGATGGGGCTGCTGCAAAGGCAGCGCTTGGTTCAGATTCTTATGCAAATTGTGAGACCGCCCGAATTTTCGGCAGGTCAAATTATTAATCTAGCGTGCTTTATCACGAGATTGGTGACTTCGAACAACTTGAACATCGACGAAGGCATGCTGGACGTAGTGGTGAGATCGCTGACGGATGTCATGGACCAGCCGCTGAGTCTGAGGGACCACGGCGAGAGGGAGCAGGCGTGGTTAGATTTGCTCAACGCTGGGAAACTGAGGCACTTGTCCAGCGACGACTTGTTAAAGCTGGCGCTGGACTCCAGGTGCTACAGGGTGGCCGAATACCTCTACGAGGCACATAACGACTACTCAAATGTCCTCACGTGCTATTTGCGAGACCCGGTGCGCAAATCCGACGTTTTTAACTACATTCTGAACTACATCAGTGACAAGGAGCGGTGCGTGGAGCAACAATTTCTTGTCAATTTCAAAGACTTAGTAGCTGCGGATAGCAAGAAAACTAGCGAGATAGTCGTAGAACACTTCCCTGAACTCGTAGTACAGTTAAGTAGGATCGTCGAGGGTACCCCCGATTTGCACCACTCGTTTTTAAAAGGGATAGTTTCAAGCGACATGAAACTACCTCCGGAACTCGCAGAGGCGTACCTCGAACTACTATGCATCAAAGACAGAAAGGAAGTTTGCGGGTACGTTCAGGTGAGCTCTTGCAGGGTGGAAGAAGCATTAAAAATCACGAGGAAGTACGAAGTTCACCCCGCCACAGCTCTTCTTCTGGAACAAGGAGGGGAGTGGATGGAAGCCTTGGAGTTGCTATTGCAACACGACATGGTGGACGACGGCGTTAGTTTGTGTATTCGCGGAGCTGAGCACTTGGACTCCGACGGGGCACAGAAGCTGTGGCTTATGTTGTTGCAACACCACAAGAGCACAAAGACGATGTCGTTGAGGCAGTTGTTGCATGCGGCCGCCCCCCACGTACCGCCAGCGCAACTGTTGAATCTAGTCTCTGATGCCAGTTTCGGTGATGTTAAACTGCTGCTGCAAGGGATGCTGATCGACTATGTACATGACGTGCAGGTGTTCAGCACCACGCTGAGGCTCCTAAGCAAGGATCTGCATCACGGTACGTTCGCATTTTTATCTTTCCAATGTATACGTAATAATGGATCAATCGGTAGCATAACAGTACCATTAATAATAAGTTTTTGGTGCGTAACAAAAAAGTTACAGAAACCAATTTGCAAGTTACAACGAAAAACAAACAATAAATGTAAGAATATATTTGCAAAATCAAATTAAAATTTATATTTTTATTTTTATTTTATTTATTTATGTACACATATTACTACAGTGGTCGTAAGGCAGTTAGGAAACACGTGCTGTATTATAATAATATTTCTGATACGATTGACAGATATTTCGTTAAGTGAGAAATAATCACAATTAAATATCCAAATTATTTTTGCATAATTATATTTACAGAGTAGTTATTGAATTCTTCAGTATTAAGCTTAGAGTATGTTAAAGTATGATGGTAAATATAGTGCGGTTATCGCTTAATTGCTACCCAACTTGCGGTAATTTTTGTGACTTTGTCAAAGTGGGCCCCAATAAATTTGTTTGCCTGGTCGGACCTTTTCTTGTTTTAAAGTAACAAATAAAAATTATTTCAATACGGCACATGGCGCACCTAACTGTCTGGTAACGTGGTAACATTGAATTTTCCTCTTGAATGACCAGTCAACATTTTCTAGCCGTTTGTATTTGTATAGCAAGAAATAATTATTAGGCGACTAATTAAATCAGTTGTGTCTCTTTGGGTTAGAATTTTATAATTTAATGCCGAGAAGGTCTACCGACTGTTTTTTTTTTATTGATTGAGTATTTTATAATTTTTTGAAACGCGTAACATGCATTGTTTTTATAGAATTAGCGAAATCACTCTGTCTGCACGGGCGAGGCGTTTCCGTGTCCTGCGTCAGCTGCAGATTATGCCATAAACCGCTATCCAAAGATATCGGGAACGAACAGTCAATTGCTGTATGGGGCTGTGGGCATTGCTTTCACGTGGCATGCCTGAAGATGACTGAAACTGAAACGGCGTGTCCTCAGTGCAGGATGACGGCCAGTCAAATTCCAACGAGAAAAATTTTCGGTAAGAAACACGCAAGTGAGGCGAAAACACACGCAAGGCCTGATTTAGAGGGGCACTTTTAAGTACTAGTCTTGTATTAGGTTTTTAAACATTTCATCAACTTCCTTCACTCATTCGTCATACTGAATGCAATTTCTTTTACTACCTGCAATGTAATGCTGTTGTATAAATTTGTGATATTTATATTTTTATTATTTGTACAAATAAAATATATACATGTTTCAACAGGTGTTAGTTTTCTAAGAACGTGGAGTTGTACTGGTGCACGAAGTTGTTCAGTCTCTCATCTATAACAAAAAGCGACAATTTAAATAACGAACGTGCCGCCTTTTACAAAAACCTAGCCTACTTGGAACGATGATAATACTTCAAAAAATGGCGACAAATCTCACTTAAATCGACTAACGATAGAGAAAATTACTCATTAAGACACTCACCTTTGCTAAAAGCGCTAGAAAACTGTGAATTATTCTTAAAATAGTACAAAATGCTATGAAACAAAGTATTATCCCCTGTATTCTGCGCCGCTTGTAAAAACTTCCTAGGATTAGCGCTCTCTTGCGCCAGTTTCAAAGCAGACAACACTTGTCCCTCGCTCAAAAGAATCTCTTGTATCTCTTCGGTAGCATTCAGTCTTGCCAACATATCTAACGCCAACTGTGAGGCCGCTGAATGCAAATTCCCCAACGACAACAGTAAACACGCCAGTGGCTTAGAATCGGACACTACTCCATACTGCAACAGTTGTTGTAAAGCTGTGAATTTCTTCCTCTTCACGAGTGTGGTTATTAACAGCTCGTTTAGATTATGCTGTGCCGGAATGCCTTGTTCGAACAATGACGTCATGTAACTTATTAAAGTCCATTCCAGTTTCTCTAAATCTGTTTCAAGATCTAGTTTCTGATAAATCTCGTTGTACATGTCCATTTGATCTATCAAGACTCTGGGTGGCGGTGGAGATTTTAAATATGGTGCCCCTGGTGGTGACGCGGTGTGTGATTGTAGTTCTGCTTCTAAGGAGTCTCTGTAGATATTGTTAATGTGGTTGAAAGACTCCTGGAGTTTGTCTAACGGCGGTTTTGGGTGTCTGATGGCATCTAGAATCATCTAAGGAGCAGCATTATATAACTAATTGAGAAAAAAAAGTGTTGAAGTGGGCAACACTTATAAAAGCGCAGATACTGTTTTACAATTGTAGCTTACTCAGATTTATACGTACTTTTATTAAGATCAGTTTGCCATTGGTGCGTTTTAGAGCTACTTGGGTACAAGTAGCAAGATCTGGTATTGATGCACATAGTTGAGATAAGCAAAGGTTGATGTGCCATAAGCAACCCAGTTTTGCATCTATGACGATGTTAGGTTGGAATACCACCCAGTTGGGAGAATCTTGAAAGTTCATAAATCAGACAAATGTGTAACATTGGAATCGGGTATGTGTTAATGCAAAACATGGACGAATGAATAATATATTCCTTCGTCCAGGGTTTCAAATCTCATTTAAACAACAGCTGTATTTTTTTTTTTTTTTTTTTTAATAACTAAATACGTACATAATTCGCAAACGTGGGTTTGAGGTTCCACCAACCCCGGAAGAGTGATCTGCGCTTGTTTGAAAGATCTTGCCGCCGCCACTGTGGTGTGATATCTCACGATACCATCACTTTCTCCCGGTAAAGCTGTATCGAAAACTTGAGAGCTTCTTGAAGCCTTTATTTACACAAATAGATTTTTATTACATTTTTTATTGTCAACACAAACTAAACTCACCTGATGATGGACTAAAATCAAGTCATCCACAATATTAATAGCAAATCTACCTGAAAGCCCCAACTTTAAGACATGCGTTTTAACAGGAGCTTGCCCAGGGCCACTTAAAGTATGGACATGAACCTCAGCACTCTGAGGTCCACTTTGGTGCCTGAGAATTAATACTGCTGGAACCTCATACAGGGTAGACAATGTTACGTCCCTTTCTAGGGCCATGCGGCCCGGTTCAGCTAATAATAATACATTGCATAAACCCGACTTTCTAAAAATTGTCCAACTTACTCTCCACTTTTGGTAATTTACTAATCGATCCTGGTTTAAACAGTATAGGCTGCAACTGCGACCCATGCGCTGACGCTAACAACGCTATCCTGTTCAAAGAACACCACACAAACCACTGAACCGTCGCCGAGGTCGTTTTTAAGTACTTCAGTGACTTTTTGTCTGGTATGATCATGTATAGCTCAATACCGTGGTCCGTCATGAACGCCACTTCGTTATTTTGGGACCAAACAAACCCCAAAATGTTGGAATTTTTCTTACAGCTTTGCGAGTATTCAGAATCTAGGGTTACTCCATTGAAATTCATGAATTCGACTGAGGTGTTGGTGCGTTGAACAGCCAACACTTTCTTGTCTAAGGAGAACTTTATGGAGAGGACGGGACCATGGTCCTCCATGCGGAAATTTAGGGGCTTGTCGGTCTCCTTGGGGCCCTTGACCACGACCCCCATAACACCCCCTGAGCGCACAGCAAACACCTGAAATGGAGGAATGTGTTTCGAGTTGAATTCGGTGGTTCACTTACGTGTTTGTTTGAGTCATCGAAGAACACGTTGGTGAGTTGGTTGACGGCCTCGAAGCGGACTGGATTTTCGGATAACTCTAAATAATAATCCAATGCCATAATAACAAATTATAAATTAATCTGAACATAACCCCACTTTAACCATTTTAATTTGACAGTGTCAGCAGAGGTGTCAGTACTGTCAGTGGCTTGGGTGGCTTGCTGACTTGACGACTTTAACTGACGGGCGTACTTTTGAAGTGCTACGTGGGGATTTTTTGCATGGGGTCACATTTTTTGTTTCGTTATATGTGGTTATATCGTTTATTTTTGATTATTCTTTTATTAAAGCCACTTATTGAACTTAAATTCGAAGAAAATTCTTTTAGTGAGAAAATGACTATTCATTACAGGAACTTTGCACATTAACTTAGGTGGCTTTTCTTTTCTATGGGTGGCGCATTCCTATAATAATGTCGTTGTCATTTCTGCATGCCGCATCCAAGTCTGGACATAGGGAATTAACATGGGGAATTGGTTTTTATCATATATCTATTAGATATATGGTTTTTATTTTATAATATCTCCCGAAATCATTTTAAAGCTATTAATGAGTGATGCATTTGTAAAGGTAAATGAAGGCTACGGCCAGTATTTTTTTCAAATCGTTGCATCGCCCCTATTCACTGTAAAACGGCTTTAAAAAAATCATGTTTTGAAATTAGCGCTTGGCCCGATTTGTCACGAAACGTTCCGTCCCAGTTCGATGATCGCATCTTTGGTTTAGCCCTTAGATCATATAATTAATTTTTAATTTATTATATGATCTAAGGTTTAGCCTGGTTTCCGATAGATTAGCTGACAGAAAAGTCACTAAATAGACCGCTATAAAAAGTAGTGCCAAAGGCGCTTTATTTGAAATATAAGGAGATTTGAAAATAATGTTGAACTACGTAAAATTACTTTTAATATTAACATAATTTATTTCCAACAGACAATATTATCTATACTGGAACATACACTTCGAATAACATTGCGTACTTTATATTGAAGTAACAACATCTGTAGGGCATCTTAAATTAAACTTTTCCTTCTTGAAAAATGAATACGCATTGGCAATCATTTTCTGTGACACGATGTCGTCAACAACAGTCATATTGCACAGGGTTGAAGAGGTCTACAAAATATAATGATATATAATGATTGCACAGAATAAAGCAACAACTAACTCTTGCGTAATTATGAATTTTATTCGTAATGTCTTCCGTGGGGTCCATATGAAACGTTTTTTGACACAAACAACTTAACCTAAAATGTCCAAACTTCAGCCACTATACAAAAAAACAGCACAAAGGTCTATAATATCATACCTAACAAATCAAAACAAGTAAAAAAACACAAACACTAAACGCAAAAAACACCCTCTTTAACTTTTTGAACCAAAATTTTAAATTAACGTCAATCAGTTGATCGACCAAAACACAGGTTAAACGAAACCGGCCGACTGGCGCAGGCATAGAGGCGTAGGAAATTCGTTGCGCGGGAAAAGGAACGTTGGTTGCCAACTTAAACACAAGTCTTTAACTGCTTTAAGCGTATAATGTTAGTATGTTTTGGATTCTCCGGTTGGCGATTGTGAATTCAAAATTTTCCAATCTATCGCTGGAAATAGTATACTATTAGATATATGGGTTTAGCCATGGAAAATCGAATTGTCAAACTGAATTTAAAATTCTTCAATTCTTACACAGAAATCACGGCACAACTCAAATTGACTTATTTCATCCAGTGTGATGATTATTGTAGGACAAATTAAATGGAATAAATGCACAAATTGATCCATTTATTAGTGGTGCTGGATGCAGATAGTAAAAAATATCACATTTGACATTTCTAGTCAATATTTGAAACCTGAATGATTAAACCCAAAATCTGATGACCCAAATAGGAGTATGGATTTGAAGTAACTTTTAAATCCAGATTATTGTAATCTGAAATTAATTATTGATGATAACCTTAGGATCTCTATTGTTGTTACGCCACTGTATCCAAGTGTCAATCGCACGTGTCATCATGACGTATGTACAAATGACAGCCGTCACAACAATCGTATTTAACAAAGTACCTGTAAAAACACAAATCAACTCTATTTCACTGCCTCCAACAAAATTTCCGGACAGGTAAGAAAGTGTCATTATGACAATCATAACATATGCTCTTTTTAGATGTCAAACTGCGTTTTTTGCAAAATCATCTCTGGAAATGCCCCAGGTGAAATTTTTTATCAGGATGATAAAGTTGTTGTGTTCAAGGATATTAAACCAGCGGCCAAATACCACTTTTTAGCTATTCCGAAGGAGCACATTATTAATGTAAATAGTCTGACCTTTGATCATATACAATTAAGTAAGTAGGCACGAGGCCACAACTTTGTGCAAATAAAGTGGTAAATTTTTAGTTGAACATTTAATAGTGAAAGGTAAAGAGGTTTTGATCGAAAAAGGAGGTGATGTGAATGATGTGCGCCTGGGATTCCACTTACCACCATTTAACTCTGTGTCACATTTACACTTGCATGTGCTATCGCCAGCGTCAGAGATATCATTAATAGGGCGGTTAATTTTTAGGCCTAATTCGTGGTGGTTTTCTTCAGTAAGTGTATGTGATCATTAAGATTTTTTTTGTTAAGACCGTATTTGCAGGTGGATCAAATCATAAAAAAAATTCAGAATACAAGTAGGCTGTAACAGTTTTGTATTATATTTTATTGGTGAGATTATAAGACATGTTACATTAAAAAAATAAAATTAATACACTTTAATGGAATGGTTAGTAATGAAATAATACCGGAGGTAGATTTAGAAGTACTATCTGGACTCGAAATAATTTTGTAAGTTGTGAAGTTGGCATACGGAATATGTTAACAAATGTAGACTAAATTTAGAAACCACGGGTTTAAGATAACTCTTTGGCATTTTGACTATTTTCTTCCTCAATATATAAAACTTGGTACACCATCTTTAGAGAATAAGATTTAACAAGTACATTTGTATAAAATATTTGACTCTTTTTCAGTAAAGGTTGTGTACCGATAATATAATTTACAAAATTACTACATTTGTTACTGCTTTTCTTATAGTTACATAACTACATTTCTATAAGTCTTATGTTCTGACATATGTCAATGTAAGCAACACAAATCGATACTTTAAAATCTCACATTTTTTTCTAACATGATATATCCAGGCAAACTATTTTTTTAACATCATTATTTATATGACAACAAGTTTAATTGTAAAATAACCAAAATTCTACATTTTATGGTTGAATACTAAATACAAAACCCTGTTATTGTGTTAAGTGGTCGATTACCAAATGTAGAATCATAAATTAAGGTACTTTTGTACTCAAAATAAAAAAATGCATTAACAATCACAGAATCGATATCTTAAAGCATTTTAAATCATGAATATCTCATTATAATGTTCCAAGAGAAACTTGGTAAACATGTTTATAGGTCCTATAGAAACAAGAGACATCGTTTCATTTTCAGACCACACCAGATTAGGGCCAAAAACCACAGCTAAGTTTTGTGCGTTCATCTTATTCAGGTCGGCCCTTTCCATCACCTAGGAACACCAATTTAAACAAAATAAAAAAAAAAACACACCCTTACCCTTGACAGAAAGCTTATAATGTACTTTAGTATCTGATAGTTGTCCACTGGAAGCTTCTCCATAACCAATATCGAAACTTGTCTTAACCGTTGGTCTTTATCCCACGCTGAAAAAAACGAATTCAGCGTTAATTTTTCAAGATTAGATACTTACTATGAAACTGCATAATTTCGTCATAGAGCTCGTGCGTCAAGAGGGGCTCCTTCAACTCCCGAAGAAAAGTTTTAAGTAAAACTGCGGCTTCGTGCGCACTAGCGAAAGTTAAAAGTTCGCCTTGATTCGCTACCTCTTTCAACTGTTTAATTTTTAGTGTGTTGGCCGATCTTCTAAATATACCTTCAGTCTCTAAAGCTATTATATATATATATATATATAAGTAAAAGTAAATTAATTAGTAACAAATTACCGTCAGGTTGATCTAAATATTCAACACACTGTTTAACCACTGGAGGTATTGGACCATTATAATTGTCTTTTATAAACTGAAGAGGAACGCCGAATTGTTGTAAAGGAGAACTAGGCTGGAAAGTGGTATCTGAAGTAGGAGTTACAGTGCCCCCAAGCTTCTTGTCATGTCTAAAATAATCCACTAGAATGAAGTACAAAGACAAAAAAATAAAAGCATTACTCAATCACGTCATTTGGGATGTCGAGTTTCTCCAAAGATATGTGCTCATTCAACTCCTTCAAAGTATGAATGTAGTTCAATTTCTTCCCAAATTTAGCACTAATCAAAGGTCTGAAAATCTGTGACACAATTTTCAGAAAACTAGTAGGATGGACTAAGAACAAAGCTTTTAAGTTTTTCTTATATTTCCTATCAAACGCTTTGTAAGCCTGAACAAGCCACCGCAGCGACGGCTTATTCTTGCTCGAGAGGCCATAATGAAAGTACACTAAACTATAATCCTGCTCTACATACTGGTCTAAAGTGTGGGTTAAATAACTGAAATGGTAAATTTTAAGTACACAATCACGTGGGCGTATTGCAATTACTTCAAAAATAATACGTGATTGATCTCGGCGCTGGGAGGCAGTCGATGGGCGTACACAACGATGATTTTTCGTCCGAGCGAATCATCTCCCTTCACGTCAACTATCTTGTAATTGTCAATGTTGGCGAACTTACTTGTTGGGGAATCATCAACCACTGGATAGGAAGGTGAATACATCAAGCCATCTAGATTTTCTTCGCTGGGGTCGGCTAGTTCCTCCTCGAAGTTGTCGTCGGTGAAGTCCGCGATTGGCGAATTTATTCCATTCGACTCCATTTGGATTAATTCAGCTATTGAGGATTGTTTTATCTGAATTTATGACATGACGCTAGCTTACCGGTTTGGGCCACGGCGTCCGGGCTTTGGTGAAGTTCGCTGTCGTCGAACTCCAGATTAGGTTCATAGTCGTGGTAATCTGATAAACTTGGGTATGGCTCATCGTTGTTATCAACAAAATTGCCTACAAGGTGTTGTTTTCATGAACAGAGATTAGATAAGTTGTTTGTATACACACCTGAAAAGTTTCTTGTAGGGCTCAACTTATTCGAGTTCATTTTAAATGCAAATTAGTCATTTCAAAAGCAAAAGAATTTTATTGTAATTAAGCACACCCACTTTGCTTATGACGAGTGATTGAGTTGCACAAATTATTAACAGGCGAGCTTATGTGACTTATATTTTGTGAGGCAAAATAAGAATTTGTTAACATGTATGTTAACACCAAAAACCTTTTTCACGATTTATTAGTTTTGACGTTTTTTGACAATCAACAAAAATGACACACGAATGACGTTCAATGACGTCTGCAGTGTAATTACCAACCCAAGAAAAAAAACTGCAAACTGCAAGTTACTCCTTATTTGAAATCTTTGAAATTGTTGCTGTTTTCTACTTTTTCTTATTTTGCAAAAATTTCGTCTGAGGGTCTCAAGATACAAAAAATGTTTTTTTCACTAGCAGCCATCAAGCATGCAAATGTCGACTCATTTAGAGGTAGCAAATTCAACTTTTGTGACCACGGGTTCAAAAAGAAGATTGAGGTTATGTACGCAATACTTGATGTGATTATTTCTTAAAAAATGAATAAATGTATGCTACTAACATTACTTGAGTATACGCGTGGTAGTTGCTAGACGGTAGAAGATAAAATGATTAATTCAGCGACAAGTGTAAACGGTTTTCTTTGTGTTGAAGATTTAAGTAGATCAAGTTTGATTAGAAATTAAAACAAATTCATGTTGCGTCAAAAAATTGAACGTTTATTTTTTCAATTTATTGTTTTATGGTTTCTAGTGAAAAAAATATCTAAAGTTGCATATCACTGTAAACGCAGTTTAACGATCTACCAGAATCCTTTAAAAAAATACATATATTCGTTGCAACTAAAAAATTATAAGCTTTCTTCGCGACGCCGTGGATGCGTCATATGTATTTACATTGAACCAAATTAGCTTCTCCCTTCAAGCTAAAAGTAATGGCGTTTATAGAATTTCAGTTAGCATTTTATTTATTTTTTGTTCATAGCCAAAAAAATACGAGTTGGAATTTGTAATTAAATTAAAATAAAATATATTTAAGTAATTGCAACTCTTAACTCTGAAGTGTTCAACTGCTTTCAAAGTATATGCATAGTGTAGATTGTACCGTATGATTTTTTAAGATTAGACATACGGCGAGACTCTGGAAACAAAATATGTGAAAGACTTAGGGCGTAGTTTAATTATTGTTTATATGTCACTGCCATTGACACTAATTGTTTATACATATAAATGTTACTGCCACAAAATGAGGTTAAACTAATTAGACTACGCCTTAATTACGCGCTACGTCTTTTACATCTGCTGTTTCCAAAGCCTCCCCTTACTCTAATTTAAAAAATCATGCGGTACGTATATGCTTTCAATTTTGTGAAAGTATTGTTGGTTACATATGTTTTGTTTATTTTAAAATACATCAGTACCACAGCATAGATATCAATCAGTAGAGACGGCTCGCCGTTTTTCGTGACCCGTTTTCGTGGGTGGTCGTTCGCATTATGACCGAATGAGGGCGCCCAACTGACGTCTAAAATATTTGAAATTTGGCAGTTTTGTTACAATATTTTTGCCAGTTTTGCTTGTTTAAGACTGCTTTTCCGGTAGAATTGTACAAATAGTATAAAAATGTAATTTTCACAATAAAAGGTAAAATCTTTGTCCGATGAATTTTCATACAGGATCCCTGTTGTGCGCCTTATTCGTGCTTATTCTCTCCCTCGTGTTTGGAATTCTTGGAAAAGATAGTAAACATAATAACACACTTTTTGTTTAAAAAGTCGTCGCAAACGAACAACAACGGTGGTTATGAAATAATTTTTTTACATTTGTGAATTAGAGCAAATTTTTAGTGAAAATTTTGAAAATATAATTTTACAAACAACTACTTTGTTGAAATTATTAAATTTAGCTACATTTGTTCATCCATGCCAAAACTTTCCATACGATTATTTGCTTGCTTTGTATGCTAGGATGAGATTATTTTATGCACCAAAATTTGTAAATGCTAGCTTTAAATTTACAAATGCCAAAGGTGAAAAAATTAATAGAAAGAAAATAATTTGGCAGCATTAACTTTTTTCCTTTTTGTAATTTAATTTTTATTTTATTTATTTTTTCTTAAATAAACCTCTTTCTTTTTAGATGTATTTATTACATTATTTTTACATAGATAATTAAACCTCAAGTATTCGGGGAAAGAATGTGCGAATTGTCAAATTGTATAAGTAATAAAATAAAAACTTTAACAAATCATCGTGTTTATAAATTAAATATCGACTTTTCTTTTTTCTTATTGCGATTCACGATTATACGATTTGAGCAAACTACACAGTTTACAATAAATTGCGTACACGAATCAATTTTTGAAATTGTAAATGAAGTGATACTTTTTAAATTGGGTGGCGACATCTAGGAATAGTTTAGGCAACGACCACCCATGACGGCTTAAAATTCGGGTCAGAAAGAACAAAGGCGCCGACACGAGCTGTCTCTACTGATTGTTATCTATACTGTGTCAGTACAGTCGTTTGCAAAAAATTGAGCAAATCAGGTTCTCATAGATCAATAAAATAAAAAGCAATAATGAGAATATGACTTTCATGTCAATGTCATCAGCCCGAATTTTTTTTGGAAACGCCGGTATTAAAGTGTGATCACAGTGTGTGATGTACAACTTGGTAACGTCTGTAAAGCCGGAATTCCACTGAGGCAACACTGAACGACATGTTGCTTGATACTTGTTACCTAGTGTTGCCTGTTGTAGGCGTGCGACAATGTGGCACAAAATTTCAATTAATGTCGCTGTGTGTTCCTTCAATGGAAAGACTGTGTATAGCATGCGTCAATGCCGCATGCTACATGTTTCCTCAGTGGAATTCCGGCTTAAGTTTGCGTCTGTAAATTTGCGACAAATATTGATTGAACTTCCTTAAGAAGTAATATTAAATTGGTGAAAAAATCAGTGTATTTTGTTAGGTATTTAAAATTAATTACACTTTGTTAAAAATAGTTATATGGTGTATTTTTATACATAATAATGCATGATTACAACAGATAATCTTATCACATCATGACGAGTAGAAAACTTACAATTATTGATCATTGTCGCAATAATGAAGTATGTTTACATCCATCGTAAAATTAATTGAATTCAACTAAACTTTTCAGGTTATAGATTTGTCATGCTATTTATTGGAAAGTTTGGGCGCTAATCTACTTCACTAACAAGATTTTTATTATTCATTTATTTGTATAATTTTGTATAACACATAATTATATGTTTATAAATTTCTTCATTTTTTTTATTTTCCTAATGGGAAAACGTTTTCTTCTAACACGTAAAGAGGTATAAGTGAGAAGACGCAGCGTTTAAATTTTTTTTTTTTATTATTAGGTAAACGTATTTTTATTAAAATTGCTACTAGTTTTATTATATAGTAACGTTAAGAGGTGAGTATTACTTATTTGAATCGTTACATTTTTCAATCTGGATTGTTTTATTTTATTCCTAAAATACTAAAACAGTAAACAACATTTTTTTTTATATACTAAACGCTATGTATTTTGCTACTATTTTACATAGTATGAAACGATTACAAAGCCCACACTCTCACATAGTCAACTTGGAAGGCAGCATTATCAGTTTCCAGTTGCCAAGTGGGCAGCCACTGGTCTTTACCCTTCCAGAAATCTGTTGAAGCAGTAGGAGAAGTGTTCAACCACGGTTTGCCACCAGGATTAGTGCCATCGTCAGGGAAATAAGCTATGCCACCGACAGCCAAATTCAGAAGAATATAATACTCCTGGTCGAAAGGCGCCAGTTTCGAATTGCTCCTCTTCCATGGATTATCAAAACCGGAAGAATCAAGATTACCCCATTCCCAGAACCCACCCGCTGGTGGTTCATATCGGGCCAAGACCTCATCATCTATGGAGAACTGAAGACTGCTCTCGTCCCAGAGCAACTGATAGTTATGCCAATCCGTGTCAAAACCAGCGGGATTTTGTTTTTCGACGTGTGTCAACTGATACATGTTGATATTCCATGCTGGACCCCAGTGGAGGGTGGAGCCCACCAACTGGGTACCAATATTGACGCCAGAGGCGTTGACGAGCTCGCGGTTGCCACGGCTTTCCATAATGTCGATTTCTCCAGAAACCGGCCATGTGGAGTATTGGTTCCACCTTGGCAACATCCAAATAGCTGCAAATTTTTTGGTTAGGCTTAGCTTCGTGTGTGTTAAAAAATTTACCAGGCCACAACCAATCACCGCCGGGCAATTTAGCCCTGACTTCGACTTTACCATACTTGAAGTTAAAGGAGTAAACTGTGCGAATGCGAGCGCTTTTGATTGGGTTCAAATAACTGGCTTCGCTACCATCTCTGATACAACCGTACCATTGGGGATTCGTACACCTGTGAACCAGATTTAATTGTTGCATCCTGACAATTACTGCAACTTACTCGTCAGCTGGGGAACCTCCGTTGATGTCCAAGTGACCAGACCACAAGAAATCTTCGCCGTTTTCGTCGGCTACGAGAGTTGGCTTCAGGAACAGATATCCTCCATCAACGTAGCTGTTGTATCTGCTGTTTGTGTACCATTCGAATTCCCAGTTCTATTTATTAAAGTAGGTACCTACTGTTAGTGCAAAGGCGCGATGCGATACTGTGGTACTTACGCCACCTCCGCCGACTGTAATTTCGTGGTTCCATTTTTGCAAATTAAAATCGTCGAAATTGTCTTCGAAGATGAGATCGCCAGAGCATATTTCGCTGGTTGGTGCGTGTGTCCCGCTAGCCGTTGTAGGACTAGGGGTAGCACACTGAGATTTGGAGGAGTGGAAGAACCCCAACAGTAGGCAACTGAGTAGAAGCAACTTGAACATTTTGATTATTTGTCCGGAATTACTGTGTGATGGTCCTTTTATATTCGTAGGTTTATCACAAAAGTATTAACAGTATCTTCATCGCACTTAGGTCGAGTGGAGCAGTGAAGTGTGTTTGTTTTAAGAGGTTTTTTATTTTGAATTGCGTAAAACGTATACTTACCCGAGTAGATATGTTAATGTATATTTTGGTTCATCGTCGTAAAATTAATTAAATGCGAGTAAACTTTCCGGGTTATAAATTTGTCATCCTATTTACTGTAAAGTTTGGGCGTTAATCTACTTCACTAACAAGAACAAGATTTTTATTATATATTTATTTGTTATTTGTATAAATAAAGTTATAAATCTACAGATGTTTATAGAGATTTTTTTAATAGTCCACTTGAAGATGTTAGCTTTTGGCGTTGTTTTATTTTGGAAAAGGACTGTATGTTGATCGGCGTTGGTAAAACTCAACAATTTATTTCTCAATAATCCTAATTTACACGACTAATAACTGTACAACTAATATGTACAGAATAATTCCGACTGGACTAGATTGGATTTGACTAGACTCTAATTCTCTCACTGACTGGACTCGATTGCCCGTTCCCAACAATTATCCCCTCTAACACTTGATAAGGTCACCTCAAAATTTTACTTGGTAAATTCAATATAAAGTGTACAAGATATGGACATGATGAATGCATTAATATTTTTTTTTTAATTATTGCTTAGGCCATTAAAGAAAATCGAATAAAGCAAGTTATTAAAAGTGGCTTATACCTACCTCATTTTCTCGAAATGTTATTAGTATTACAATATAGCCAAATTGCTATGTGTTCTTGTTAAAAGTATATATTAAAATTCTATTTATTTGACACGATACTCTAACAAAGTGTGTAGGTTCAAAATAAAAAAGAAAAAGTATTGACGGACACAGAGTTTCCCAGGTGAAGATAAATAATATCTCACTAAATTGAAAAAAGGAAACATTTTGCGAGTTTAATATATTATACTGCTATACCTACGTATTTAGGTATACAGTGCCGTCTTCAGGCAGAACAGTGACTATTATTATTTAAAAGTATTATTTTAAACTCGCAAAGTGTTTATTTTTCTTAATTTAGTAAAGATCGAGTATAAACAAGTAAAAGCCTCGTCAATACAGTTATTAAAGAATGTTTGTCCACAGTTTCTTTAATTCACGTTTCTGGGGACATCTAAAAACCTGTTAATATTCATTAAGAATATATTTTAAACAGATTTTAAATAACAAAATACCACATACCTACACGAAACGTTATTTTTTCTTTAGAAGTTATCGTTGGCCTGGAACCTGGAAGCACTTGTAATTTTATACAATTATTGACTAGTTATTACACTAACCATTTTAGAATGAACACTTAACATAAATCCAAAACAAAACGTGCATACTAACAAGTTTCAAGTTAAGATCGAAAAATGGTAAACTATAACCACTAACCACCTATATTAAGATCCGTAACGCAAATGGGCGACCTTTGAACGATTTCGTAACTAAATTATTGTTGGCTCCCGTTCATTAGATGTCCCTAATATTTATTAACGTATAAGTATAGCATAGCCCCTCTGTTTATAAATATTATAATAGAGGCTCTATACGCATAACGTAGAAAGTTGATTGGTAGAACTGTAAGCAGAGTGGGATGAAAAGGGAACCAATCAGAAAGATGTTAGAGTATCCATGTCGTTTGCAAGATTGTCACGTGACTATAATCTACCAACATAATATCTTTAGTCTGTTTTGACTATAGTAATTCTTGTATAGTGAACCAAGAGCTATAAGGTTATATGGCCATCATAAAAGTAGTTGACCGCAAATAAATACCCCCTTTGTGTGGTTCGCACTAAGCTTACCGGTTGGCAATAAATCATCTTCTAAACATTTCTTGCTCATATTTAACAGGGCCGGCTTTCAAAGCGAGTGGTTATTTCGGAACCCTCAGCGGCTGCAGGTAGTAAAGAAATAGTGGAGTGGTGGATTTTCATATTTAGTGAAAGCCGCCACTGAACGAAACCACAAAAGCCGGTCGAGCTGCAGTGGACACGTTATTTACAACCCTAAAACCTTTTCTATTGTTAACAACTTAACTTCAACACAATAGGATGATTTTATGATGGCCATATAACCTTATAGCTCTTGGTTCACTATAGCTTTTGCGGACTGGTTGTAGTGTTTTTTGCTATTGTGGTGGTTTTCTGTATTATTATCATTCATTATTAAAGGAAATGTTCTATATAACGAATGTATTATTTACATTTCCATATTTTGCGATTCCTGCTTTGTTGGGGAAAAGCGAAAGTAAGTACCTGTTTAAATTCCCTGAGATAACTTCGGCTATTACACACCAGTGACCATAGGGAACCGATGCGTATACCTAGTGTTACAGGTGCGGAGAATGGGTGATTTCTGTGTCGAATGGTAGACAGTGATCTCTACTGGTTTTGTGAAATTGTTAAGGTGGTCATAAAAAGGACAATAAACGGTACTTGCATTGATTCCAAAAGTTCACATTGCTGGGTGCACTCCCTTTATATATTTCTTTAAAATTATGTTTATCGTTAATTATCATTTACAGGGCAACAAGGTGGCACTTTTAAACGAATATCCCTAAATTAACAAGAATAGTTTTCACAGTAGGTACACGATAGAGGCACAGTATGTAGATGTGCTAAATGTAAGAGTCCATTCCAACAATATAGCGACCGACTATAAGCTTATTCCTACATCATTACAAGCGTCACCATCCCAAGTCGGTAGTGTACCAACCTATCTCATTTACCACCGTGCCTAAAACACCCACCACATTTTTTACCTGTAATTTAAATAAAACACACATTTTTATTTTAACTTCTAGAGGTATAAAAAGATCTGTTGAATGCTAATGGCGGCATACCTGCCTAGCCCCTCCACCCGCAAGGATAAGATCAGAGCTCCCACCCCTTTGAAACACAACCTCCTATTAGAAAGCAGATATTACGAGGATCATTCTAAGATTCTCATTCATTAGAGTCATCTAAAGAGAAGGGGTGATATTCTTATTATCGATAAACACAATCTGCATTCCTAATAAAAACAATAAAGTAACATCTGTTCGCTGTTCTGTATGAATCATATACTCATATTCAGTTGTATCAATCAAAGTTAAACAATAACAAAAACTAGAAATGTTTGAGTGTAGTATACTACAGCTATTTTTAAAATATGGATGCTGAAAGTAGTAAACAATATATTTTTAAATAACGAACGCTACGTAGTTTGCTATATATTTTACATAATATCAAACGATTACAAGGCCCACACTCTCACATAGTCAATTTGGAAAGCAGCATTATCAGTTTCCAGTTGCCAAGTGGGCAGCCATTGATCTTTACCCCTCCAGAAATCTGTAGTAGCAACAGGAGATGTGTTCAACCAGGGTTTACCACCAGGATTAGTAACATCATCAGGAAAATAACCTAGGCCACCGACGGCCAAACATAGAATGATATAATACTCCTGGTCGAAAGGCGCCAGTTTCGAATTGCTCCTCTTCCATGGATTATCAAAACCGGAAGAATCAAGATTACCCCATTCCCAGAACCCACCCGCTGGTGGTTCAAATCGGGACAAAACCTCATCATCTACGGAGAACTGAAGACTGTTCTCGTCCCAGAGCAACTGATAGTTGTGCCAATCCGCATCAAAACCAACGGGATTTTGTTTCTCGGCGTGTGTCAACTGATACATATTGATGTTCCATGCTGGGCCCCAGTGGAGGGTGGAGCTCACCAGCTGGGTACCAATATTGACACCAGAGGCGTTGACGAGCTCGCGGTTGCCACGACTTTCCATAATGTCGATTTCTCCAGAGGCCGGCCATGAAGAATACTGGTTCCACCTAGGCATCATCCAAATAGCTGCAAAATTTTTTAGTTAGGATAAGCTTTGTGTGTGTAAAAAAAAATTACCAGGCCACAACCAATCACCGGCGGGCAATTTAGCCCTGACTTCGACTTTACCATATTTGAAGTTGAAGGAGTATACCGTTCGGACACGAGCGCTCTTGACTGGGTTCAAATAGCTGGCTTGGGTACCATCTCTAATGCAGCCGTACCATGCGGGATTCGTACACCTGCGAACCAGATTTAATTGTTGCATCCTGGACAATTATTGTAACTTACTCGTCAGCTGGGGAACCTCCGTTGATGTCCAAGTGACCAGACCACAAAAAATCTTCCCCGTTTTCGTCGGCTACGAGAGTTGGCTTCAGAAACAAAGATCCTCCGTCAACGTAGCTGTTGTATCTGCTGTTTGTGTACCATTCAAATTCCCAGTTCTAATTGTCAAAGTACTGTTGAAGAACAAAGGCACGATATATAACTGTGGTACTTACGCCACCTCCGCCGACTGTAATTTCGTGGTTCCACTTTTGCAAATTAAGAATGTCAAAGTCGTCTTCGAAGATGAGATCACCAGAGCATATTTGGCCGGTTGGTGCGTGTGTGCCGGTCGCCGTTGTAGGACTGGGAGTAGCACACTGAGATTTGGCCAAGTGCAAGGATCCCAACAGTAGGCAACTGAGTAGAAGCAACTTGAACATTTTGCTTGTTTGTCCAGAATTACTGAACGTTGGTCCTTTTATATTCGAAAGTTTATCGTAAAATTATTGTTAACAGTATCTTCATCGCACTTAGATCGAGTGGACCAGTGAAGTGTATTTGTTTGAAGAGATTTTTTATTTTGAACTACGTTAAATTTCTGTCTGAATAAATACATATGTTAATATCAGTTCTGGTTCATCGTCGAATTGTACAGGTTCTTTTTAAACAGTCAACTTGAAGATGTTAGATTTTGACGTTGTTTAGGAGGAAAGTCTTCGTTTTTCACAAGAAAAATTGTAAGAACACGCCAAAGAAATAGAACGTAATAAACGAGTTAAACCATGTGGATAATCAAATGATGGCATCTTCTTTCATTACTCGGTGCACGATAACACTATATCGTTTACTATCCTACCGTTCAGGGACAATAAATATTAAAATGATCGTATTTTTACAAAGCAATATAATTAAATATTTAGGGATCAACAACCACCTAGAGTCCAAAGGAAAACCAGCACCTTCTAAGTTGTAGGTACAAGTTTTCTCCGATTGTACATATTTTAGTTTCGATTTGTAGAGTTCGGAATAAACAACAGTACAGTAGCAACACATTATTTCATTTTTCGTTCGAGTCATCCCAAAAAATACGGCTGGAAAAAGCTTCAGTCGTAACAGGTTGTAAAATAACCAGGCATAAGGTGTTATGTATGCAGCAATACCTAAGGCGCAATGGGTAACGGGAACCCTAATATTTAATATTCTAGGTATCTAGATAGTAGAGAAATCAATTTGCAATACAACTAACACTATCAAACTACCATTTAACTTATAAAAAACTAATCTAAAATTAACTTTACACGCAGACTAACTAACCGACGCGACGGTAGCCTCTCAGGATAAATGTTAATAAAATGTTCAATAGTAGATACCTGGCGTCGGAAACGCCACAAATAGCGATATTTTTCTCTTAAAAAAATTTGAAAGAATCCTGTATATAGTGATTTGTTTTTGAAAGAGACTAAAAGAATCTTAGGGGCCTCTGACTGTGTTTTATTTTTGAAAGAAGTTGAACAGAAAAATTCAAAACTTCAAAACTTTACAGGTCCTTTTAGAAATTCCTACGCCATTCCGTTTTAAATTTACCACGTGTTTTGAGGTTATCATCATTCCCGTGGATTGATAACCAAAAGTGTTTACCCATCCCCACCAAGGTAAGTGCTAAATGGCTCTTATTTTAAACGTTAACTTCAGATGCGAAGGACGTTTTGTCCAAATAACCGTAGACGAATTTTTTAAATAACAATCATTATGTATTTTGTTATTATTTTACATAATATCTAACAATTACAAAGCCCACACTCTGACATAGTCAACTTGGAAGGCAGCATTATCTGTTTCCAGTTGCCAGGTGGGTAGCCACTGGTCTCTACCCGTCCAGAAGTCTGTAGACGCAGTAGGAGAAGTGTTCAACCAGGGCTTGCCACCAGGATTGCTGGCATCATCAGGAAAATAAGCTAGGCCGCCGCAGCCCAAATTAAGAAGGATATAATACTCCTGATCGAAAGGCGCCAGTTTCGAATTACTTCTCTTCCATGGATTATCCCAACCGGAAGAATCAAGGTTACCCCATTCCCAAAACCCACCCGCTGGTGGTTCATATCGGGCCAAGACCTCATCATCTACGGAAAATTGAAGACTGTTCTCGTCCCAGAGCAACTGATAATTGTGCCAATCCGTATCAAAACCGGCAGGATTTTGTTTTTCGACGTGTGTCAACTGATACATATTGATATTCCATGCTGGGCCCCAGTGGAGGGTGGAGCTCACCAGTTGGGTACCAATATTGACGCCAGACCCGTTGACGAGCTCGCGGTTGCCACGGCTTTCCATAATGTCGATTTCTCCAGAAACCGGCCATGTGGAGTATTGGTTCCACCTTGGCAACATCCAGATCGCTGCAATTTTTTAGTTAGGATTGGTTTTATGTGTATGGAAAAAAATTACCAGGCCACAACCAATCGCCGGCTGGTAGTTTAGCCCTGACTTCGATTTTACCATATTTGAAGCTGAAGGAGTATACTGTGCGAATACGCGCGCTTTTGATTGGGTTCAAATAACTGGCTTCGCTACCATCTCTGATACAACCATACCACTGGGGATTCGTACACCTGTGAACCAGATTTAATTGTTGCATCCTGACAATTACTGCAACTTACTCGTCAGCTGGGGAACCTCCGTTGATGTCCAAGTGACCAGACCACAAGAAGTCTTCGCCGTTTTCGTCGGCTACGAGAGTTGGCTTCAAAAATATAATTCCTCCGTCAACGTAGCTGTTGTATCTGCTGTTTGTATACCATTCAAATTCCCAGTTCTGGTTACGAAAGTACTATTACAGACCAAAACCGTAGCAATTAATTCTGGTACTTACGCCACCTCCGGCGAGTGTATTTTCGTGGTTCCATTTTTGCAAATTAAGATCGTCGAAGTTGTCTTCGAATATGAGATCACCAGAGCATATTTGACTGGTTGGTGCATGTGTGCCGCTAGCCGTTGTAGGGCTGGGGGTAGCACATTGAGATTTGGAAGAGTGGAAGAGCCCCAACAGTAGGCAACTAAATAGAAACAGCTTGAACATTTTACTTGTTTGTCCGGGATTACTTAGCGTTGGACGTTTTATAGTTGTAAGATTATCGTAAAAAAAATAACAGTATCTTCGTTGCACTTAGGTCGAGTGGGGAGCAGTGAAGTGTATTTTTTTATGGATTGTGTAATATGTATACCTGGGTAAATATGTTAATATCAGTTTTGGTTAATCGTCGTCACTTATATTGGCATTTTGAAAAAAATACATGCGATATCTTTTAGAAATTAAATGTCCTTTGAGTGTTCGACAAAAATGCAATTAAATTTGTTAAGTTAAAGCTAAAAAACAATTCTATAATACCCAGTATTCACGCATGTTTCATACATTTTTACTTCCTAAGCGTTAAGCTAAGGTATATAGTATTTGTAATCGAGTCCATCATTTTTCCCTATCGAATTGACAACAGTTTAATAAATAGAACTGAAAGGATTAAAGATCTAGGTATACTCTTTGACACTAAACTTCTGTTTATAGAGTACATTCATGAGATGGTATCTAAAAGTTTTAGAACGTACGGATTTATCTACAGAAATTGCCGAGATTTTACTTATACACGAACCTTGTGTTCTCTATTCTTTTCTCTGGTGCGATCACAACTTGAATACGGAGCTTTAATTTGGTTCCCAGTATATCAGATTCACATTCAACATATTGAACACGTCCAACGTGTGTTTTTTTTAATTTCTATGCTTTCTACTTGATGGTACTTACCCAGCAAGAGGCTATGAACATTCTGCTTTACTCTCAAGATTTGACTTTTTACCTCTCCACTTAAGGAGAATTATAATACTAATAAAATTTTTAATACATCGTATAAATAATAAAATAGACTATCCGTTACTTTTAGAACAACTCAATTTTTTAATTCCAAGGATTAATACTAGACAAAGTAACATATTCTATTCTGAATCAAGCAGAACCAACGTATTAATAAGATCGCATATTGCATTAATGTGCGAATTATTCAATGATATTTCCGCCTATTGTGACATTTATAGTGACTGTATTAAGTTTATTACAAATTGTATTAAAAACCATTTCTGTTAAATAGGTTTATTTTTAGTTTTTTTTTAGGGTTTTTTGGTTTGTAATCAATATTATATTATTTTGTTATCTTTATGTATTCACTCTCACTCTATTAATCAATTATTATTTGTCAATATTTCCTGTAACTGGGTGTAAATACCGTAGGAAATAAAGATTTATTATTATTATTATTATTGTATAAATACAGCTTGAGTCTATAATAGTCTATGATTCTGTAGGGCTAACAAATTTAAATAATCTTCTATAAAAAAAAATAAATATAAAATAAGAATGATTTAAAACAAATTTGCCACACAACTAATTATTATGTAGTATAGTCATTGTATACGTTTTTTTTTTGCTCCTGTACGATTCTCTAGGGAAAGTTGTTCCGGCTGGCAAAGACGAGCATCTTCATCTGTTGCCTGTATTTCAGGGGCGAAGGAAGTCCTGTCTAAATAACTTTACATCAATTTTTACTGCATAACATCCGAGTATTGTTACTGTTTTTTCTAAAAAAAAATCGACCTGTTAATACGAATTTCCTTCTTCTAGAAACTACATCGAATTTCGGACGCTTAATAACAGAAATCGAAGAACTGAATACCCTGAAAGTGTTTTTCTCGTTTAATGTTGGACGATTAAATTTCAGACTTCAGTCTCCATATATCCCCGATGAAATAAGATACTGCGTGGATTCAGGTAAAACTTTGTGTTTTTGTACCAAAACTTTCAGATTGATTAAAAAGTGGAATTCTTGAAATTTAAGCTGAAAATTGATAATAAACAACTTTTGTGTCATACTCATAAGTCATAACATGTAACCTGTTATCTGTATTAAAGTGAAAATATTATTTATCTATGTAATTTTTTTTAAACAAGTGTTAAACAGATGTGAGTGTGATAAAATCAGATTGGGTAAATAACGGTTTTGAAAATATTTTCTTTTAAATGACAGACAAAAATTGGATAAGCTGTTCATTTCATAAATTCATGAGTGTGTAGGTATAGAAAATTTTCCATATTTTGTAATATAAACGAAGATTAAGGGAAAAAATTACGTTAAACTTTTGTTGTTGTAATAATCGTTCAGAGTAATCCATCAATATGCAGTTTTGTATAATAATTGTATGAACTTTTAGCAATCATTTACTGTTTCTTCTCGATATTGATTTTAATCTTTCGGCTGTTTGTACCTTTATATAAAAAACAGTATAGTTTTTGCCACTGTATTATAATATTTGTAACTCACAAATTTACTTTAGTCATCCTGATAACACTGATAACAATCCACTTGATTATTGTCAACAAACAACAGATTATCACTAGGTCGAACTAGCGGCAGTTAAGTATTTTTACATTATGATAAGACGATGACAAAAAAGTACTTACCTACATTATGAAATTACTGCCATTAAGAAGTGAGTACATATTTCATTATTACCTATTAAATAAATTAAAACAATTTAAATTACAATTCAAATCCAAAATGGTGAACCAGAACAACTAAAAAAATTGGTCTGGACTTGGTTAGACAGAACTTCCTTCGCCCCTGAAGAAAAAAATAAATAAATAAATAAAACGTAACAAATCCCGCTTCTTTATAAAGAATTTTAAATTTGATTTTGCGAATTTCGTTTTCTGAAAACCTCTATAAAGTAAAAATTGGTCGAATATATTTCAACAGAACTTCCCTCGCCCCTGAAGTATGATAAAACAAATCCAGTTTTTTCGAAAAATTATAAAAATTGATTATGCGAATTTTACTTTTTTTATGAGAAATATATTTAAAGCAGATAACCAAGTGCATGAAACATCGGAGTGTCGATAAATTAAGAAATCGGGAAAACAAAAAATTTTAAAAATCTAAAAATTGAAGAACCGAAAAATCGAAATACGGAAAGTCGAAAAATTGGAAGATCGAGCAGTCGAAACGAAACATCAAACTCTAAATATATAAAATTTTAAAAATGCTAAAGTCAAAATATGTATTGAAAAATTGAAAAATCCAGAAACTGAAAAATTCCCAAAACTGAAATATTGAAAAATTGGGAAATACAAAACTTGAAAAATCGAGAAATCGAAACATCCAAAAATCGTAAAATTGAGAATTGAAAAATCGGAAAATGTGTAATTTAAGAAACCGAAAAATTGAAAAATCGAAAAACTGAAAAATCAAAAAAAAAACGAGAAACCGAGAAATCGAAAAATCTAAAATTTATAAATTGAAATTGAAAAATCGAATAACTGAAAAATTGTAACATCGAGAAATTGAAACATGAAAAGATAGAAAGAAAATCGAGATATCGAAATAGCCCAAACAAAAAATCAAAAATTGAAAACATTTTAAAAATTCGATAAATCGAAAGATATCTTGTATATGTAATTTATAATCAAACAAGCAAATGGAAGTTGTGCTGTGGTTTAATTGTCATAAACTAACGTTAAATGTAGATGACATAAAAAATAAAAAGTTATTATTTTTAACTTTCTTTAAATTCTGAATTTAAACGATGTACCGAAATGATCCGGTTAACACTCAGACACTCCCTACGTAAAAAATATATCTTTGTATCTCGAAATCACAGTATGAGGAACCTAAATATAAATATTATGCTGTTTCATTACTTATCAATATTATTTTCCTGTAGTGAAGTATGTACAAGTATGTATTGTTGAATCGGTACTGAAAATTCTAAAATTATTATAATAACCATGACAACTCATACCAATTGTCATGTGATAAGCCATCTCTTTTGGGTAAAAAATGGCGTGAAATCAATTCAAAACATCTCTGTCAGCTTAAAAGCACGTGATCAATAACCGCAACGTAGGTAACAAAGAAATGGCAAAAGTACAGAATTCTACACAGTTAGAGTTTTAGTAAATTTGTTTCGATAATAAATCATATTTACCTAATTAAATTGTATCTAAAAACAGTGTACAAGGTGTAATCATCTAATTATTCTAAAAAGTAAAAATTATCCTCACTCCTGGAGCACCGTTTGAAATGTCCTGCAATGTAACGTGCGATGAAAGTTCCCTCATCAAATCATCAAATAAAAAAATGTAAACGACAAATAATCCGCAACGAAAATTATTCAGGTTAATGAAGATTCATAGTTAATTATTACTTATTCCTATTAGTTATTATTACGAATGTGTATACATCGAACAAGGACGTCCTTCATCGTACATTACTGTGTATACTATTTATAGAAACTTATTTATTTAATTGAATTTTTGTTCTGTTATCGTAATACAAAAACACTTATAACTCCAGCTAGTTCTGCCTAGTGATAATCTCGTACTTATTGACAAGCATCAGTTGGATTGTTATCACCGTTATTACTTGCCGGGATGACTAAAGTAAATTCGTGAATTTTTATATTATAATATGGTTGCAACAGTAGAATTGTCAAAACCAAACTCCAAACAAATTTCTAGTACTTTTTACACAAAAGTAAAAACGGTCAAAAATTAAAATAAATACCGAGAAAGAACAATAGACCGTGACTGCTATATTAGGTACAGTTATCGTTACACAAAAATGGATTTCATTGGCCGACATCAAATTTTTAATATTTGTCTGTCATTTAAACTAAAATATTTCGAAATTATTTTTTATCCAATTTAATCTTATCATGCTCATCGCACGTATTGACTAACACATGCTCTAACAAAAAAAAAAATAGACAAATAATATGTATTTTCACTTTAATACAGATAACAGATTACATTTGACGGCACTGCCGTTGCTTATTGCCGACTTTCAGCCTAGATTTCAAAAACTCCACCCTTTGACTAAGTTGAAAGTTTTCGTACGACGCCATGTTGTTCTTCTTTATCTAATAAGAAACCAATTCTCCATCTTTTATTAGTAACGACACAAAAACTCACTTCTCGCAGCAATAGAGCTTTATCTGAATCCACACAATGTCGTATTTCATTAGAAATAAGACTATCTTTCTCCATGCACTGATTGTGCAGCACATTTACCAGCTGGTTATGAACCATTTGCAGGGTCTCTTTGTGTGTTTTCAATTTAGCAATCTAAAATTCGGTCACCCCAACATTAAACGAGAAGAAGCATAAATTAGCTTCACCTTCAAGTTTTTGCTTTCTTTCATTTTCGAAAACTTTGCAAGAAGGTTGGAGTATTTGTCATCATATTGCGAAAGATTCTGTTTCAGTTCTTCGATTTCTGTCTTCAGGTGGACGTTTTCGTCGTGGACTTTTTTAATGTCTTGACTTTTAATATCGAGTAGTTTGAGTAAACCGTGGTGGTTGGCCAGAAGTTCTTCATATCTAGAGGAAATTCGTATTAAGTGCTCAAGTTTTTATTACAAAAATGAGCAAATCTCGGATTTTTAATTGCATTTGAGATGTTGTACGTATATCAGTGGCATTAAAAATGTCATAGAAGGCTAAAATTTGTTCGTCCAAAAGTCCAAGAACGTTACCTTTCTGTAACATAGCATATGTATCAAAATGCCAGTAGATATGTACATTATTACGCAGTAACCTATTTTCAAATTATTTTATATAAATTATGGTTTCATTTGGATTTTAAGTACCTAGTTTTTCCAGCAGGCTCTACAAAACATCTTGGAATGTTTTAAAAATAAGTTCGGGAAATTTTTATCCAGACAAACACAGTTGCAGAAATTTTAGAACTATGATCCTTAATAAGTAAACTATTCACATTTAGATATGACTACTACCTACTTTTCTAAATTACCTATATAATTTTGACGCAAAATGTGGTATTAAATGGATACGGAAAACTTTGACTAATATTTTGGCAATAAATTTAACATTAAATAAGTTTGTCTGTACCGAAATATGCACTTTTTTAAGTATTTTTACATACAAAAGAATGCACATAATATTTTTTAAGAATACTCAATTCGTAATACATATTTACATACATATCGTCTTTCATAAAACTTGAGGTTTATATATAAAATCTCTACAGATTAAGGATCCAACAATACCGTAATTTGTCTTATTTAGATCACATGTGACAATACAGTAACTGCAGTTACAAGCTTGATGGCGTTTCGCAGTCAAATTAAACAATTGCAGATGTTTGTTGTATAGTTTCTTTACATGTAATAAAAAAAGAAATTATTTTTTGAATTGCATTGCGTTTTATCTTATTTTGACAAGTTTACGGCAGAACTGTCCGTCAACAGGTATATTGGTTGAAAACCAACACAACGGATCTTTAACATGTGAATTATGAACAGCGTATAGGTGAAAACTGAAACGTTACTTGTATTGTAAATGGACTATACTCATTGTCGAACAGGAACGGCTTACATCACCCTGAGAATTTGTTCTAGAAATGTCGTTATCGTTACACTTTTGTTGTAAAATATCTAAAAATCAAAACTAAAATATGTAGAACGGAAGAAACATATACAACTTAGGAGCTGCTGGTTCTCCTTTAGAGCTTCCTCTAGTTGGTTGCTGATCCCATGATATTTAATTTTATCGCATTGCAAAGACATCATCACTTGATTATCGGTATGGTCTGACTCGTGTATTTTCTCTTCAAGATTTTGTACGGTATGTTCCATCTCTTTAACGTGTTCTTTCAATTTCTTGCGGTTCTCCTGTAATAAAGCAAACATTTTCCGCCTGAACAAAACAACGCCAAAATCTAACATCTTCGAGTACACCTGACATGTTTAACGTGCTCCAAGCTCCAATTTATGACTGAACAGAGAACGTTTAGTGACACTTGCGTTTTGCGAATGTGTCAGCGAGAACGGGTGACAGAATAAAACAGCCAACTCTATTTATTACAAATATCACATTTCTTCTTTTAACTACAGATTTAAAACGAAAAGCCTCATGAAATAGTAACAGAGAGGCCTTCATTTATAAAACAATAAGCCATAAAATCTAATAAAACTGTACAATCTGATAAAAAAAGAAAAATAAAAAATTAAGAGCCAGAATTTGTACAATGGATAACGTGACGTGACTAGTTCTTGGTTGAGTGATAAAACTTAATTTTTACCGTTTGCAGACCCCGTTATGCATGCATAGAGGCGTTTGCCCCACCACGATTCAAGATCAAAAGGCTTGAAGCCTTCCAGAATGAGCGGTTCGTCCTCGTAATAAACTGACTGGTCACCTATTGAAAAATAATTAGAGAGTTTCACTTGCTAGCCCGAAACTTACTTTTAGGACTTGAACAACCATCTGAATCGTGGTACATCTCTGCACAAACTTTATTCCAAGCTGGAACAACAGTTTTAAAAAAAAAACACACACACATATTTAGTCAATTTACAATCATTGACAAATTTGATAATCTCCTCATGTTGAGGCGATATGACTTCTTGTCTGTGCTGATGCGGCGCTAATTTCTTGTTATGGAACACTGGCTTTGGAACACTGGAGTATCAAATTGTTCATTTAGCAAAACTGACCACTCATACTTACGGATGAGCTTCGTTATCCTCACTTTCAACCGATTTATTCCGTGTGTATTCCCTCATGTTATCCATATTTTGGCTCAAACCTAAAATTGGAGGTTAGTTAAAAGAACAAGAAAGGTTTAGACAATATTTACCTCGTCTGGTGGTTTTTGCGACGATTTTGCTGGGTCCTTTTACATTATACATTATGAAATTGGTGCACAAACATCTAGTTTTCCAAAATAAAACAATAATTATAATACCTTCTGGACACTTTATTAGTGAAGGATAGTGAAAGGTGCGGTTATTATTACGAAATATTATTGTTGTGAATTTGGATTATGTAACGTATAATGTGGATTTGGCTGTTTCGGTCCCTTTAATTGGACAACATGAGTTTGCACAAAATATGAAAATTTGCTAAAAAAGTTATAAAATAATTGGTAATTAAAAAAGGCAACGTTGCAAACTGTCACGTGTACTTAACGCGTGGTAGTGGCAACCTCGCACTACTGTCGTTGACGTTTGACGCCTTGACGTATTATACAGTGTCATAACCTTAAAACGTTATTTACAAAATGTGTTTAAATTATTAACAAATTGTTAAAATGTCTTCTGCGTTAGTACAAAAGGCGTTACAAATTGTAGATCCAGACTTTCATAAACAGTCGAAAGGTAGTTTTTAATTCATGCTATTTTTCCATTCTAACGTGTTAATTCCCCAGGTAAGACACATCAAAGTACGAAGAACGTGTTCGGTTTAATCCCCGAAAAGCAAAAAATTACAAAAAATATTATCCGAAAAGGACATAAAGGTAGTATAACTGGCGTTACTGTTGCAAACTAAACGTAGTTATTCTAGAAAAAGTTGGAGTCTTGTCAATTTCAAAAAAACTAACAGTGACGGAAGCTAGGAAGCTTATTAAAAGTAAGGATGAAATTCTGAAGGAGAACTTGAAAAAACTTAAACAGATTCAAGGAGCGTGTACTATTGAACTCGATAAAGAAACAACTGAGAAAGTAAGTGTTTTATGGACATTTATATTTTTATTTTTATGTTGGTTTGTAGATTCTTGAAAGAGCTGTAACCAAACGACCTGTAAAAGCCAAGAAGAAAACAAAGAAAGCACAGAAGACTGCTTTCACTGAAGAAGATTTCAAGAACTTCGAGGAAGAATATTTAGATTCTTAAAATGTTTGTTTCAAATAGAACTTACAGTATTTCAATGCTCATGTTGAGTGTGGTAGGGATATTCTATATGTTGTTTATGCTTATAATTGTACCCATTTTACCACTGGATGAGGATAATGTATTATCTTCAGTTTCCCAAACACCAATTTTGTTGTGTGCTGGTATTTCTGGACTATTGTTTTGTGGAAGTTTGTCAATTTTTACCATTTTAGTGATGGGTAAAGGAAAATGGAACGACTGTTGTGGTGTTATAAGAGACAAATTTATTAAAAAGTGAGCTAAAAGTTGTTTTATTAATGGATATATTGGAGCTTGATGTAACTACCTTTCAAGACATGACACGGTCGTTGTCATAGAATACCCTCAGTAGGATTTTCCATGGTCGTTTAGATTTTGTCGTGACAACATAATAAATTGAGTATGCAACCAATAATACAATTACCGTTGGCGATACGTTATTTCGTTAAATTCATTAGATAATAATCGAAAATCCAGGAACAATGTAAAATAATTCCGAAGTATACTTAAACTTCTTAATTTACAATGAAAACAAAACTTGACTTATTACGTAAACTGGCGATTTTATGAAATAGGTAAAGTGTCGTCATTTTAGAATTATCGTGAAAATTGTAAGGGTTGTCCAAATTTGCGTATTGATTCTCGGCAGAAAATCACCTTGCTTCCGATTTGAAGTAAAATATATCTCCTATATTTAGTACTACCATCCGCCCCTACTTTTATCTTATGTAAACATATATGTTGTTCTGAAATAATCAAAATTGGAGCAAGTTCTCACAATTCTCACAAATTCAACGAGAGAATGCTGATAAATGTTGATGGAATAGTGAGACACTAACTTTAATTTAAGGATTACAAAATATCAATTGATCAATGTATTTATCTCTTACAAGAAAATCATATTATTATCATCCTAAAAAAGTGAGTACAATTCTTCAGTGCATAAAATGCATAATAATGAAAAATTTACGACTGAAAATATTCTTTTTTATTTTGTCAACAGTGTATTTACAAGAAACCTGTTAAAATTCCTCATTTGGTAGATTCAGATGAAAACTGTTGGATGCGACTCGATAACTTTGGCTTTGAAAGTTGTCATCTATTAAGAATATTGTTACAGACCTGTGTGAAAAGTCGAAAATTCCTTGTATTTTTTCAGTTATTTATTTATATTTTTCCTTCTAAAACCATTTGCTTCAATTCCCGTCTCATTACTTTCCCCGTCACTGTCAAAGGTACCGAATCAATGAATTTAACTCCAGCTCGCAACCGTTGCCTCTCTGGAACTCTCTCCTCAATAAACTTCTCGATTTCTTCCTCGCTAACTCTAAAACCGTCGTTTAGTACCACCAAACCCATGGGATGGTGACCATCGTCTCTGGGAATGCCAACAACGACAGCTATTTTCACAGCAGGATGATTCAACAACTCATTTTCAAGTAAAGCAGGTGCAATAAACCACCCCTGATACTTGAAAGCCTCTTTAATCCTGTCTATCACATAAAAGCAAAAATCTTCATCATAATACACAATGTCGCCAGTCTTCAACCATCCATCTAAATCGAAAGTATCCGAAGAATCTCTATTGTAGTACCCATTCATAATAAATTTAGATTTGATTCGAAGCTCCCCACGTTGCTTGAAACCTACGGTTTTCCCAGTAGCGGTATCCACAACCTACAACTTTAGGTAGCACCTACTAATCATAAAAAATAAATGTTAGTACCTTGTACGAAGTTCCTCGAACGGGAACACCAACAGTTTCAATTTTCTCAGGGTTTGCACGCAGTTCCGCGTGATGTTTGTCGTTCGGAACCAACATGGTCAGAGGCCCACAAACCTCTGTTTGCCCGTAGCCCGCGCCCAAATATGCATTAGGAAAAGCTTCTTGAATTTGGAGCAAGTACTCTTTTGAAATACTAGATCCTATCACCGAAAAGTTCAAAACACATTGAACGTCAACCTCTTTTCGCCTGTTTGCGAGCATTTCAATGACCTGAACTGGCGTCATCATCACAAAACATGGTTTGTACTTCTGGATATAATTCCAGGCTTCTTTTCCGTCAAAAGTTTCACACACAAGCCGGCAGTGACCGTCACCTATAGAACCCAGCAACATAGCGCCAGCTGACAACCAGTAGAGAGAAGTGTAGCCGAGGTGCGTCATAGGAAAACATATATACTTTACGGCTTTTTTCATGTAGGCCTCGTTTGGATAATCAGTAAGCCTTACGTTGATCATTTGTCCAACAAAAGCGTAGTGACTTAAACATATTCCTTTTGGTAAGCCCGTAGTACCGCTACTGAAGTGTACAACAGCAGTATCTTGAAGATTCTCAATTTTCACAGGCTCGAACCCTTCTTCACGAGCATGAGGTTTAAGAAAAGCAGAAAACTCGGTGTGCTTGTTGCTTTGGCCAAAAACAATAATTTCTGCGTCAAGCGAAATTTCTTGTAGTACTTTTTCGAGTATCGGTACTGATTCTGGTAGTGTAAATATTATCTTTGGTCGAACTGTGTTTAAGAGATGGTTCATTTCTTGCGGAGAGAACGAGGGATCGATGGAACCTATAACTGCTCCTATAAATTGCGTTGCTATGTAGGGCACTACAGCATTTAGGTGGTTTCTTGTACACAGGGTGATCACGTCACCACGAGATATTTTTCTATCTAACATATGCAGGGCTGTTCGGGTGGAGCGTTGCAGAAGTTTCTCAAATGTGTCTTTCTGGCCTGTTTTGGCATCTATCTGTTGATAGAAAAAACGTGTTTGACGAATTGCTTATAAATGGATTGGATAGTACCTGGGCGATGTTGTTTTTGTGTTTCTTCATGTTCGTGAACATGAAAGTACCCATGCTTTGTGTTGGTTCTATGGCTATATTGGGGGTATTGATTATATTGTCTTCCGACATAGTGATTTGTCGTGCCCAAATAGTTTTGACCGCGGCCGAGCTTTTGGACACTAACAAAATTATTTATTTGGGTGTAGGCCCATTTCCTTGGAAATGGAAGAGCTAAACTGCATGTAGGGGAAGAGGTAATAATTAAACATATATAACATTTTTATACGTATATTAAAAGAAAGCATAATAAGCATGTCAAAAGAATAATCGAGTAAATGTGTAAATAATCAACAGAAAAATAAAACATAAAATAAATTCACACACATAACACGAAAAAACAAAACAACATGCAAAACTATCTTCTAAAGCGCTACGCAGTTATATTCCACTAATAAAACTCTTAAAATCTATGAACATAACCCACATTTTTAATTAATAAACTTAATCCTAGAAAAATCAGCATGCAAAAAGACTAAAAATTAATTCGGTAAATCCTTAATTAAATGCAACACCTTCTAAACAATATTAATATTACGAGCATGATAAATAACCAAAAAAAATAAACTACTAACTACTAAATGGAATCATTGCTTAATTATTTAAATAAATTGCGATTGGGCATTTATATATTAATTAAATCATTAAAACAACTAAAATAATAATAAAACCAATAATTCAGTGGATTCGAAGAAATCTCCACTGATTATAAGAACAACTAAAATAACGGGTTAAAATCATGCACTTAAATCTACGACAGCTTATGAATACAAACATGTAAAAAGAGAGATAAATAAGTCTTCACATACATCGATTAGCTAAATATGCCGAGCACAACAATTGTTCACGAGAAAAATTGATGGTTACAGGACAGTTAGATACATGTAAAAATAAACAGTCATAATTTATACCTGCAGTTAAACATTGGGACATTAGTATCATAAATGCGCTAAAATACAATGAGACGATTAAAATAAAATATAATGTGAGGTTTCCAAATACTATAGCAAAATAATCAGAGAACGGAGTCATATTTAAACGGCAAAAATTCAATATAAAATAATCGACAGCAAGAAAATTAGATTAAAAGGTTTCAATTCGGGAACTTCCCAAAAACGCACATAAGATATTCATGTCGCAAGCAAAGAATTAAATCGGCAAATTTAAAGAGATATTGGAATAATTATCATAAAAGCAAACGGTAAAAATCAGAAAAATCCTCTCCAAAAACGCATATAAAATATTTATGTCGCAAGCAAAAGAGTTAAATCGGCAATTTACAGAAATTTGGAATAATTATCATAAAAGCGAACGGTAATTTATCGAAAAATCCTCCCCAACAATCAAGAACCGACGCAAGGCTAATAAACGTGCCACCTGCAAACGGGAACATATGGAAGCACTAAAGATTACTTTCTGTGCCGGCGCTAACTGTTCACACCCAACGTAACGAAGAAAACGCATAAATTAAACGCTACACATGTACGATTCGAATTCGAGAACACATGACGAAAAAACGGAAAGCAAGATAAATTAAGAATGACTAAAAGGTAGACTTACACAGCTGCAGCATTGAGAATTTTTCTATCTTCCTCTCGGGCTCAGCAAATTCTTCTAAGTTCGGATTTCTTCAAAATTCAGCAAAATTAATAAAAATCTCGACCAACGATTCTACAGGGCCTTCGGCCGCAACTGGAAACTCTACTAAACTGAATCTCTTTCCTGCTCGAAATTCAGCCTTATATAGCTTCGTTTTGGACAGAAATAGAACCGTGCTTTTGTGTGGTACTATATGCCCTTATATGGTCATGAAAATGTGAAGATGCGTCGACCAATCGGTAAGTCCGCTTCCTTATATGGTAAAAATATGGGAAGCTGATGAAATCTCAGTTCCGGGGATGAAGTGGGGATTATTCTAGCGAGGGCTAAGATGAGTGTGCGTGCACAGATGCACTGCTGGGTTGATGACGTAGTAAGTTTGAAGCGACGGCGTTCTTTGATGTTTTTTATGCGTCTGCGTTTCGTTTGCAGCTGTTTTGGTTTGGATACAATTTTTAGATGAGAGTAATTGCGATTGGCGATGTTTCTGGCACATTATTTTGTACAATTTATTTGCAATGTCTGGCAAGCGCAATGTTATTCGCAATTTGCGAATACGCGAGTTTTGTTCCTGCATTTGGGGATTGATAGTTGATTTTTGTTTATCTATTTGAATGGTACTATATGCCGATTAGAACATGCGTGTTAATTAATTAAGATTTGCAAATTTTCGCGTTATGTTTTGAGGGTTTGTTATTAGTCTTTTTAGTTACAATTTTCTCGTGAACGAATTTAGTGGCGGCTCGTCACAACACTCCCTGGCAAAAAGTAAAATGCGAGCACCGAAATGTTCGCAGTTTTACTCCTACGTCCCTGATATGACTGGTTTGCGATCTGTCTTATTAGCAAAACTTTCCTATTATTTCTGATTGTTAAATTTTTACGGATATAAAAGTTGTGCCAATAATACTTGTTGCTTACTTATTTGTATAGAATGCGCTCTTCTTTTCTTCTGGAGGTGTTAAGTGTGATGCCTCTCTATGGGTCGTTTTGATTTGACGGGCTCAGTTCTGGGTTGTTAGTCTCACTTTCTTGGTCCAAGGTTGTGGTGGTGGACAACTCAATGACTACCGTTTTGCGAGGAGTCACGCCTTGATATATGTGTACGTTAGAGTATGTATGACGTCGAGGAGGCGTTTCGATGGTTTGCCTCTCTGTTGTGTTCGTTGGCGATGGGCTCGTCTGGGTGCAAGTGATCTGCTCTGTGGCTTCATATACTCGGGCTGTCTGGTGTTCGTTGTTGATAGCCTCTCCTCGAAATCTTGTGACTGGTTTCGGGGTGTCATAACCGGCTGCTGTTTCTTTATTCACCATATAGACGGGGTTCTCCTTGCAGTTGGACCGCCACGTTATGTTGGAGGGAGTTCGTACCAACGAGGTGAAGCCTTCTGGGGAAGTTGAGGGTACTTCCAGAGAGGTTGGTGTTGTGGGTATGGATTGTGCGTCCCCACTGGATGGATTTTTGTGTTGTGGAGCCCCTCGGTACAGGATGATCATGCAAAACAACAGTATATTAATGATGATCAGGCCAAACACAATGATTAGAATATCATTGCACTGCTCCAGCTCATTGAAATTTTGCGTTAATGAGCACCTTGGTTGATATACGAATGTTTGTGATTGTTCAACAAACGCTCGCATAGGGTTATATTGCTTGAGACTTATCGTTTGGCGTTCTCCGCAGTTCATGGGGAGGAGAACTAATGTCATTGTGGTCGAGATATTGTTTACGGTGTTTGTGTCATGACTAACCCACCATATGTGTATTGAGCTGGAATTGTTCCTTGGTTGTTGTTATATTATATAATCTGGCATTGTCTTTAACTGGCCAAATTATGGGGACCCATTGCTGAGTTACAGTAGGCATCGTGTCGTCGAATTTCTAGGGTTTACGCTGAATCTCCTTCTTGTGTCGGACTACCTACGGTCAAACTTTTTTATCTTGCTCTCTTACAATTTTACTCTACTCTTATGATCTAAGGATATTTAAATCGAACGTTTGAGATTATATTCTTAATACTAGGCATGCATTATTATTATTGTTTTATTTTTTTTATTTAATTTTTTTGTTTATTAGTTTAGGTGAACAGTTAGAACCAGGTGTGATTTCGGGGTTCTTTTAAATCATCTATCGCTTGCTTAAGGTCCACATATGTTATCGTATGAGATTTGGTTAATTTCTTTTTCTCCGATTTCGCGTCAGATCTTGTTTCTACTAGAGGTTTTTCCGATACTTTTGAACACGATGGTTCTTCCGGTTTTACAGCAAAGTTTTCGGAGTACGGGTAAGCTAAGTCGGGAGCTGTTGGGAAGTATCCCGGATTGGGCGGGTTATTATCGCTAGGTGTATCGCTACGTTCTGTGATTTTTCGCATATTTCGGAACACCTCTTTCTTGTGTTTCCGGTGGAGAAGCCACATTGTTAGGGTGTCCCAAAAACTAGCTAAGATTTTAATTGCTCATCCGTGTTAATTTTGAATAGCTATCGCGTTTATAATTATACAAGTTAGTGTTTTTATAAAGCGAATAATACCGTATAGTTCTAAAATGTCACTTGTTCAGGAACCTATCCCTTTGAACCTGTCCCACACCTTATCTATTGTGGTTTCTGCTAGTTTTTCTATTTCTTCAGCACTAAGGATGTGCATCTAAACTCCCTGATTGTCTATTTCTTGACCCATCGCTTTACGCATGTGTATGTCATTGATGGCTTTTCGTTCATGTCCGAACAGCATAGCGTCTTGTGCCGCTCTGATTTCTTGATTCGTATAAACGTCTCCAGCGCCCAGGTTCTGATTGGGAGTGAATGTCAATTTGGCTTTATTGTTGACTGCTAGTGTTGTTGGTATGAACGCGTCACTTCAACGGGATATGTTTACCCATGTATTTTCTCGAATGGTTTTTTTTTTTCGTATGATCCGAACTTGTCGAGTGTCTCTGACAATCGTAGACGATTAGGGATGCGGCTGGTCTGATTTGAGCGATCTATGTTAGGATGGTGTTATCTTGAGATATTTGTAATTAATATGTGTTTTTAGTACTTGTTCCCTGGTTCATCTAAGTTATCCGTAACTAATCCTATCTATAATGTTGTTTCTTATGGTCTAGGTGCTTATCTATCTCTAACGGTGTATGTACATTGGGTTATGTTCGTTTACGTAGTACCCAAGGGTCTTCTTGGAATTCTGTCTTTGCTTTTTGTATGGTAAGGGTGTGGTTGTGCGGTTACTTTTTCTTTTCGATTGTAAGGAATTTTGTGCGATCTTCTGAAAATCAGCGAAACATTTTCTGTATTAAATAGACGGTTGACTTTCTTAGTGCACGATTCCACTCTTAAATTTTCAAGCAGCTGATGATTTCGGGTTGTTAATAGTTCACTTCTGACAATATTTGTTTCATAGTGATTCACTTTATTTCAATCGCTGTATTTTAAATTAATTTTCACTTTACGCTAATTCACTTTATTCGAATTTACTTTCT